TGTTTCCGATTCAGAGAGTGTCTTCCGGCGGGCAGCGGGGCCCCTGGACCATCTGGCGTAGAGCCCAGGCTGGAGTCGCAGGCCCCCAGGGCTTGTCCGAGGGGCGGAGGAGAGGAAGCTGTGGAAGTTGAACTCGGAAGTGTGAAATTGCTGGGTGGCTTGAGAAAGCCCGGTGATTAGGGAAGTGTGGTAGGCTTGCAGGGCAGTGTTGTATATCCTTTGAGGTCTGTGGTTTTGAATCTGAAAAGTGAAATCATCCTGCTTGTGGGATTTTTTTTCCCCCTCTGGCAAAACTGAGTGCCGGGCAGGGAGGAGGACAGAGGCAAGGAAGCCGAAAAGGCGCTTTGGGGAGGTGGATGAGGCCGAGGGGCGCGCCCACGAGGTGAAGTGACTGTTGGCCCGTGGAGTTCAAAGCGAGCGACCGGAAGGAAGGGAAGTAGGTTGTTTGAAGCCCAGCTCTGGGCCTGGTGTCGACTCTGGAATGGGTTTTGTGGGTGATCGAGGAGGAACAGGTGGGTGGTGAAGAGAAGCAGGATTGAAAGGGACAGACTGGGAGTCCGGTTCCTGGACTGAGCCCGAGGCGGGGTGGAGAGGGAGGTGAATGGGGCCACGCGTGGTGGAAGCAGGTGCCGAGGAGGTCTTGGCATTTGTGAGGGGGCAGCAGGCAGTAGAGCCCCGTGGCATGAGTTTCAAAGAAGCTGGAGTCTTCCGGGGGGAAGATGGTTGGACGTAGCGGTGGGGGACAAGGAGACGCTGCCTCCTGCATACTTGAGGCGTCCTGGTTGTGAGAGGAAGGGTTGCTTCTGCTTGAGAGGCCCCGCAGAAGGCGAGTGTTAGGGTACAGCCAGGTATCTGGTTAGGGTATGGATTCATGAACCATTTCTCTAGTTTTCCACAGGGTGGGGTTGGTGGGAAGACTTGGGCAGCTTGGATGTACCGTACAGAATGGGCATCCAGTTTTCCCATGGGCAGCATTTCCCCCCCAAATTTTATTTATCTATTTTCACAGAGTCAGAGAAAGATCTTTCTATTGCTGGCTTACTCCTCAGATGCACATAACAGCCAGAGCTGGGCCAGGCTGAAGTCGGGAGCCTGGAACCCAATCTGGGTCTCTGATGTGAGTGGCCAAGGACTTGAACTGTCCTCTGCCTGCTGCCTCCCAGGGTGCTCATTTGCAGGAAGCAGGAATTGGAAGCAGACCTGGCACGTCAGTGGAGGTGGTCCCGTGTGGGTGTGAGCATCCAGGTGGCGTTTTGTCCCAGATGCCCTGTGCTCGAGGCTTTACGTGTGACACTCTGCTCCTGGTCACCTCTTGCCTTCCCACTGCAGCGGGCTCTCAAAGCGTTCCCAGTGCAATACAGGGTTAAAATCTCCCTGTGTTTGGGTTGAGATGGACTCCAGATTTCTCGGTAGAAAATGCTATTTTAGGATTCATAGGTTAGAGAAATGTTATGTTCCAAATGTATCGTCTAGGGCAGGATGGTTTTCCACTTGGACATATTGCAACGTGCAGTCATCTTTATGTCAGTTGCATGGATTTGTGTTCTGGGAAAAACCATTTTTAACTATTAGTCTTCAAAAACTGAAAACAGCTTCAGTACAAGATCGCACCAAGTTGATGATTGTGAACTTGCTTTGAAAAGTAGAACTGTTGGCTGGCGCCGCGGCTCACTTGGCTAATCCTCTGCCTGCGGCACCGGCACCCCAGGTTCTAGTCCTGGTTGAGGTGCCAGATTCTGTCCTGGTTGCTCCTCTTCCAGTCCAGCTCTCTGCTGTGGCCCAGGAAGGCAGTGGAGGATGGCCCAGGTCCTTGGGCCCTGCACCCACATGGGAGACCAGGAGAAGCACCTGGCTCCTGGCTTCGGATCGGCACAGCTTGCTGGCTGTAGCGGCCATTTGTGGGGTGAACCAATGGAAAGGAAAACTTCTCTTTCTGTCTCTCTCTCTCACTGTCTATAACTCTACCTGTCAAAATAAATAAATAAATAAATAAAGTAGAACTGTGGTACAGCAGGTTAAAGCCCTAGCCTCAAGTGCCAGTATCCCATATGGGCGCCAGTTCTAGTCCCGGCTGCTCCTTTTCTGATCCAGCTCCCTGCTATGGCCTGGGAAAGCAGTAGAAGATGGCCCAAGTCCTTGGGCCCCTGCACCTGCGTGGGAGACTTAGAAGAAGCTCCTGGCTCCTGGCTTTGGACCTACTCCGCTCCAGCCGTTGTGGCCATTTGGGAAGTGAACCAGTGGATGGAAGATATCTCCGTGTGTCTCTACCTCTCTCTGTAATTCTTTGAAATAAATAAAAAATAAATAAATAAAAATAATAAAAAGGATAGTAGAATATGGTTCAGTGGTCCTGATCTTATTTGATGACAATGGGATGCCGGCATCATAGGCAGTGGCTTCACCTACTACACCACAAAGCCGGCTCCTGGACTAGCTGTTTTCTAAACTGGCATTTCTAAGCACGTAAAGCAGTTTTAGCTTTTCTTGAAATTTCCTCTTGCTTGATGTTTTCCCTGGACTCTTGCTATCTCCTGCCTCAAAGGGGTGGGCAGTTGGCATAACAGTTAAGAGGTCATTTGGAGTGTCCACATTCCACATTTATTTATTTATTTGGAAGAGTTTCAGAGAGAGAAGGAGAGAAAGATCTTCCATTCCCTGCTTCACTTCCCAAATGGCCGGGGCTGGGCCAGGCGGAAGCCAGGAGCCAGGCGCTTCATCCCGGTCTCCCATGTGGGTGGCTGCTGCTGTCCTCAGCAGGCACATTAGCAGGGAGCTGGATCGGAAGTGGAGCAGCTGGGACTTGAACTGGTGCCCATATGGGATGCCGGCGCTGCAGGTGGCAGCTTAACCTGCTGCGCCATAGCATCATCCTTTTTAACAAGGATTTTTCTTTTCTTTTCAAGTAGTTCTTGTGGGAGATTGGAGAGGTATCGGTTAAAGGATACAGAATTTCTCTTGGATAATCAGAATAAGTTCAGTGTGGTGACTAGTTAATAACAATGTGTTACATTTAAAATCATTTAAAAATGTTTGACAGGCAGACACATGCACACAGACACACTTGCACACATGGGAAGCTCTCCCATCCATGAGTTCATTGCCCAAATGGCTGCAATGGCGAGGACTGAGCCAGGCTGAAGCCAGGAACCAGGAACTCAATTTAGGTGTCCCACGTGGGTAGCAGGAACCCACTTATCCGCGCCGTCACTGCTGCCTCTCAGGGTGTGCAATGACTGAAAGCTGGAATTGGGAGTGAAGCTGGATTTTATTTGTAAAGACACAGTTATGGGGTTGGCGCTGTGGTATAGTCGGTAAAGCTGCTGCCTGTAATACCGGCATCCCATATTGCGCCGGTTCAAGTCCCAGTGGCTCCATTTCCAAACTAGCTCTCTGCTATGACCTGGGAAAGCAGTAGGAAATGGCTCAAGTCCTTGGGCCCCTGCACCCGTGTGGGATACCCAGAGGAAGCGCCTGGCTTCAGATTGGTACAGTTTTAGCTGTTGCAGCCAACTGGGGAGTGAACCAGCAGATGGAAGAATCTCCTCTCTCTTTCTCTGCCTCTCCTTCTCTGTGTAACTCTGACTTTCAAATAAATTAATAAATATTAAAAAAAAAGTTATGGTGGGGGTGGGGAGTGGGAAGAGGGGCGAGAGAGAAAGAAAGATATCAATGTTCCATCCCCTGGTTCACTCCCCAGATGACTACAACTACTGTGATTGGGCCAAGCCAGGAGCCAGGAACTGCGTCCTGGTCTCCCATATGGGTGGCAGGGGCCCAAGCATTTGGGCCATCTTTCACTGCCTTCCCAGGCTCATTAGCAAGGGAGTTGGATTGGAAGCAGAACAGCCGAGTCTCGAACCTGTGCTCCAGTGTGGGATGTGAGTGTCTCAGGTGGCAACCTATCCCACTGCACCTCAGTGCCAGCCCTGTGGAATTGGATATGGAATCTAGGCACTCTGATGTGAGACATGGGCGTCCCAACCCGCAGCTTAACTACTGTGCTAAATGCACACCACTGTCTTGCATTTGAAAATGCTGAGTAGATTTTCAGTGCTTTCGCCACGGAAAATAGTATGTGAGATAATGTGTATGTTAGTTGGCTGTTGGGGCATTCCACAGTGTGTTTGTGTTTCAAAATATGTACATGTTGGCCCCGAGTCAAGAGCAACAGTTGGCTGAAGCTGTTGGTTTCAAGCAGGAGCCTGAAGAAATGTTTTTTTCTGTGGTCTGTTGACCATTTCAGAACTTTGGAAATGTAATGGGCAATTCATTAGGAAGAAACATCAACATAAAAAAACACCAAACTGTACATTTTTTTGTGAAAAAAATCTCATAATTAAAAAAGCTAGTTGTGGCTATTAACTATTAATGACTGTGTATTCAGTAGTCATTGATTGTGAAGATGCTAAATGACAAGCTACTGTGAATTCAGAAACACTGACATTTGATTGGATTATAACAACATTTACATACACTTGAAAAATGTTAGGCATTTGTTCAGTATTTATTCCTTTTAAGATTTATTTTATTTGCAAGGCAGGGATAGAGACCTTCCATCCACTGGTTCACTTCCCAAATTGCAGTGGCCAGGGCTGAAACCAGGAACCTGGAAAGAGAATGAGAAAGTACTGTTAAGAGTAGAAGGAGGGGCCGGCACTGTGGTGTAGTGGGTAAAACTGCAGTGCCGGCATCTCATATGGGCACCGGTTCGAGTCCCGGCTGCTGCACTTCTGATCCAGCTCTCTGCTGTGGCCCGGGAAGGCAGTGGAGGATGGCCCAGGTCCTTGGACCCCTGCACCCCATGGGAGACCTAGAAGAAGCTCCTGGCTCCTGGCTTCGGATCGGCACAGCTCCGGCCATTGCAGCCATCTGGGGAGTGAACCAGCGGATGAAGACCTCTCTCTGCCTCTCCTTCTCTCTGTGTAACTGTGACTTTCAAATAAATAAATCTTTTTTTTTTTTTTTTAAAGTAGAAGGAAAAAGTCTGACTCAAGGACAAGAAGCAAACAAGATAAGGAGCTGAGTGTGTACAACCCTGGGTGAACACGGAGGCTGTTCGGGGAGTAGTGGGCGGCCTCTCTTCTTCCAGTGCTGTAATCAGATTGAGTGGGAACGTGGCCCTGGCCAGGCCAGGTCACAGACAGCTGTAAGAACATCTGCCCCTGGCCGACTGGCAAGCACTGCTAAGGTTGAGGTCAGGTAAGGGATCCCATAAGGAAAGGATATGCAAGTAAGAAGGAAAACAAATGGAGGGAACTGACTGCTTCCCGGATGCTACATGTGTACCCAGGGTGCTTTATTCCGGGGCTGCTGTTGTGAGTCTTTACCATATGGAGTCTTTGTAAATAAATCTTATCTTTCTACTTTCATGGATACGTAGATGTTTATTCATGAATCGAGCCTCTAATATTGAAGTCTGTGCACAGCTCTTGGCCATACCACCATCTGGTCAAAACAGAGCCTCATGCGGATCTCCCATGTCAGGGCCCAAGCACTCGGACTGTCCTCTGCTTCTGTCGCAGGCGTGTTAGCAGAGAGTTGGATTGGAGAGGGGCAGCCAGGACTCGAATCAGTGTTCATTTGGGATATGGGCATCGCAGGTCGCAGCTTAACCCGGTGTGCTTAGCGCTGACCCCATGTTCAGTGTGTTTGCAGGGGAGAGGAAGTGGGCTGCAGAAAGTAGGATGTGTCTGATAACTCAGAGGTGCCAGAGACTCCTGGGCCCTCAGGGTCCTGGAGCTCACAGCACTGGAAATCACTTCCGTGATGTTTAGGATATAGGTGCAAGGTATTACTATTCGTTTAATTCTGTAGGACCAAGTGTCACTGCAGTACTAATTTTGAATGGCATTCTGACATCGTCGGTGAATGTTTGAAACTGGCTTCCTGGTGTACTTACTACTGAGCCTTTTCTCCCTATTCTGGCAGTTCAGGGAAACATGGTTGGTTTAGAAATGACCTAGGTGGTCTCAGACGTCTGCCAGCTACTTAGAACTGCCAGCCCTGAATCACACACCTGTTATTGCCAACCATGTCATCTCATCTCCCACGTCTGCCGGAGCATATAATTTTGGAATTATTATTTCGGCTGATAAATTACTGCATTTTATGCCCATTCCCTTTCCTGAAATACGTAGTCCAGTGTTTTGAGCTATGAATGCATTCATTTAGAAAATGTATAACTTATAAACAATAGTTGTTCTGTTCGGGTTTCATGTTTAATTTTGGGGAGAGAGAAATTTAGTAGTGATGCTAATAGCTCTTGCTTTCGTACCTTCCTGGGACTGCAGACAGAAAGGTGTATTGTGAGTGGAATCCTGCAGTCTTACTCTGCTCATAATTTTGTGAGTGCTTTCGGGATGATCTCTAAGTGAACATTCCGCTAATTCGGGATTAATCCTGGGAGCTAAGGGCAGTTCTCTTGATGCTCACATGCAGCCTCTCTTTCAGCCCCCAGCTCTCAGAGGAGGCAGGCCAGGCCGTTTTACGGTTCCCGGCTGGTAATGCAGCAGCTGCGGGGTCTCTATCACGTTACCCACGTGACTGTTCCTGTTACCCGGGAGTTGCAAGGACGGCCTTTCTGCTGGGTCCCCCAGCCTTTACGACTGGGGAGCTAAGCTGTGACGGTGAAAACAAGCCGTGTGCAGTCACTTGGGAGCAGGGCCCCGTGATCTCTGTAGTATTAGGAGCACCTGAGTGTGTTTCTACCTGACTGCTGTAGTGTATTTGTCCTGCAAGACATTTAAATTTCCCCTCTAACATGCAGATAAATTTGAGGACTTTTCTAATGATGTTGGTACTTCCTCATTGATGATAAAAATAATGTACATGTTGGGGCCGGCGCTGTGGCATAGTGGGTAAAAACTGAGTGCCGGGGCCCAAAGACTTGGGCCCTCCTCAGCTGCTTTCCCAGGCACATTAGCAGGGAGCAGGATAGGAAGAGGAGCAGCCAGGACTCGAACTGGCACCTTTGCCCACTACGCCACAGCACCGGCCCCTAGCAACTTCGTCTGAGTTGTCTGTTCATCTCTTTGCACCTTTTCTGTGAGACTTAGTCATGTTCTTACCAGTTTGTATGAGAATTCTTTTTATTAACGTTAGTTTCCTGTTGAGGATTCTTGTTTAGGATTAGCTAATAGCTGTAAAACCTAATCATCAATGCAGTGTTCTGCTGTCAGCTAGCCTGGTTATATACTGACTGGTCATCTAATTACTTTGGTTTTGGAATAATCTGTCTGTTTTGAATAATGTTAACAATTTGTGTCTTTTCAGAAAGAGGAAACTATGTAAATCCTTCACACTCAGGTGCGAGGCTGGGGTGAGGGCTGGTCGGGAGGACCATGGCCTGGCCGGACGTGCTTCGGAGGGGAGCTGTGTTCTCACGGTTCAGCCACCACCATGTTGCTGTGTTCCTGCTCACCTTCTTCAGGCACGCTGGTTACTGACGCTCCGCCCTTGTCTGTTTGCTTTTTCTCCTGGGACGCTGTAGGACAGGTGTCTGGTGCCCTGAGTGGCGCAGGCGTGCTAGCCTCCAATGCAGGGCTGTCCCACTCTCCGCGGGCTGGGGTGGGCTGGGGCTGGCACTGTGGCGCAGCGGCCCTGGCTTCTCAAGCCGCAGTGCTGGTCTGAGTGCTGGCTGCTCTGCTTCCAGTCAGCGTCCTGCTGGTACCCCTGGGCAAGCGGCAGATGACAGCCGAAGCACTTGGGCCCCTGCTGCCCACGCAGGAGACTTGGATAGCATTCCTGCCCCGACTTGAGCCTGGCCCAACCCTGGCTGTTGTGGGGTTTGCGGGGTGAACCAGGGATGGATGATCTCTCTCCCTCTGTTTCTGTCACTCTGTGTGGCAAATAAGTGAACCTTAAAAAAATGTAAAGTGGGCTGGGGGCAGCCACATACCATTTTCTTGTTCCAGGTAAGTTTTGAGTGAATATGGACTCAAAATGGAGGTGACTGATTATTTTTTCCTTTGCTTAGCAGAGATGTCTCAATTGATGATTCTGATGATGCGATACCTTTCCCCCTCCTTTTTTTTCTGAAGAGAATTCTAAAATTGAGTCAAACGAATGGGCATCTGTGTGCTTCTTCTGAACGCTGTTTTCTTTGCTATTCACCCTGCTGCATTCCCTCTCCTTATTTGCAGTTATTCGTTGCTCCACGCGTCAAGAAAGACGTTCAGCAATGTCAAAGTCAGCATCTCTAAGCAGTGGACTCCAAGTGCTTTCAACACGTCGGCTGCACTGCCCGTGGAGGTGAGCAGAGCGGGGTCACGCCTGCTCGGCACTCTGCCGTGTCATTGCCAGTCATGTGAGCGTGTCGGGGCCGCCCTGACTCAGCGCTCACCTGTCCAGCAGGGGAGGTGAGCAGAGCGGGGTCACGCCTGCTCGGCACTCTGCCGTGTCATTGCCAGTCATGTGAGCGTGTCGGGGCCGCCCTGACTCAGCGCTCACCTGTCCAGCAGGGGAGGTGAGCAGAGCGGGGTCACACCTGCTCGGCACCGGCACACCGGCTGTTCACCACTTTGAAGTCACGTGGTCCGAGCGAGGCCGTTGCTTGCTGTCATTAATATGCTCTCTCGCCTTTCTCTGTCGAAACTTCCCTTCCCTTTGTGTCAGGGTAAACGCCACATTTTCAACCAAGTTTTTTTCTGGCTTGTACTCATTTTTCCTTTCCCTGAGCTCTTGCACATGGTGTATTATAGCAGTTAGAGTCTTGATGTTTAAATATTTCCACATGTCCCATTTATTTGCATATTGCCTAAGTGCTTTGAAGTCAGGGGTGTACGCTGAGTTCCTCTGTTCATCGCGGACCGAGCAGGTGCTCTGGCGGCTGTGTGGGGCAGAGATGCTGACTTTGCACAGCCTGTACTCAGTGCACACCTCCACCCCATGCAGTCCTCCATCGCTTTTCTTGGTTTCTGCTCATGAAGACTTTCAGATATCCTGTTAATATTCTTCGCTTGTTGTGTTTCTTTCTTTTTTCTTTTCTCTTTCTTTCTTTCTTTCTTTCTTTTTTTTTTGACAGGCAGAGTGGACAGTGAGAGAGAGAGACAGAGAGAAAGGTCTTCCTTTGCCGTTGGTTCACCCTCCAATGGCCGCCGCGGCCGGCGCACTGCGCTGATCTGAAGCCAGGAGCCAGGTACTTATCCTGGTCTCCCATGGGGTGCAGGGCCCAAGCACTTGGGCCATCCTCCACTGCACTCCCGGGCCACAGCAGAGAGCTGGCCTGGAAGAGGGGCAACTGGGACAGAATCCGGCGCCCCGACCGGGACTAGAACCCGGTGTGCTGGCGCCGCAAGGCGGAGGATTAGCCTAGTGAGCCGCAGCGCCGGCCTGTTGGGTTTCTTAAAAATTGGGGTGGACATTGTGGAAAAGCAGGTTAAGCCACCACTTGGGATACCCACATCCCATGCCGGAGTGCTGGTTCAATTCCTGCCATACTCCTTCCAGTCCAGCTTCTTGTCAATGCATACCCTGGAAAGACAGCAGGCCATAGGTCAAATACTTGAGTGTCTGCCACCTTGTGGGAGATCCAGATGGAGTTCCCGGCTCCAGGCTTTGGATCTGGCCCAGCCGAGGCCGTTGTGGACATTTAGGGAGTGAGCAGCAGATGGAAGATCTCTTTCTCTTTCCCTCTGTCTCTTTCATCCTGCTTTTCAAATAAATAAATCTTAAAAATTATTTCTCCTATTTGAACCAATTCAAAGTTGACAAAGGTTTGAAGGTTAAATGAATATCTCCCCAGAATGTAAATATTATTCTGGAAATGACTTACTAAAAATTCTTTATATGAAAGATGTGGGATGGTTAGGGAGAGAGGTCTCCCATCTGCCAGTTCACTCCCTAAATTTTGTGCTCACAGGAGCTGAGCCTGGGCCAAGCTGAAGCCAGGAGCTGGGAATTCTGTCTGAGTCTCCCACCCACTTGAGCCATCACCCTCTGGCCCACAGGGTGCACTTCAGCAGAAGGCTGGGTCTTGAATGCAGGTGCACTCTGACTGACACAGGATGCAGGCGCCCCAGTTGGCATCTTAACTGCTGCGCTGAATGCCTGTCCCTTGGTTACTTAAAGACTTATTTTATTTATTTAAAAGGTAGAATGATAGAGGGAGAGACAGGGAGAAAGAGATCTTCCGTCCCCTGGTTCACTCCTCCAGTGATTGCCGCAGCTGGGGCTGAGCCACCCCGGAGCCAGGTTGAAGCCAGGAATCCAGAACTCCATCTGGCTTTCCCTCGTGGGTGGCAGGGGCCCACGTACACGGACCATCTTCTGTTGCTTTCCTAGGCTCAGGAGCAGGGGCTGCATTGAACTGGAGCTCTGATACGGGATGCTGGTGTCACAAGAGGGCTTCACCTGCCACACCACAGCCCCAGCCCCCTCCGTCACTTCTCCGTGCCTGTCTTACTAAACATTGTTAGGAACTGGGGGTGAACGAAAGCCTAGAACTGAAGAAGGAACCTTTCTCCATGGACCTCGCTGTCGTTTTTATGGAATTTATGTCACCAGGGTCTCCAGGGGAAGAGTGTGCAGAGTGGGGGCTAGACCTCAGCCTGGGTCTGGATCTGGGTGACTGTTACCCTAGACCTCAGCCTGGGTCTGGATCTGGGTGACTGTTACCCTAGACCTCAGCCTGGGTCTGGATCTGGGTGACTGTTACCCTAGACCTCAGCCTGGGTCTGGATCTGGGTGACTGTTACCCTAGACCTCAGCCTGGGTCTGGATCTGGGTGACTGTTACCCTAGACCTCAGTCTGGGTCTGGATCTGGGTGACTGTTACCCTAGACCTCAGCCTGGGTCTGGATCTGGGTGACTGTTACCCTAGACCTCAGCCTGGGTCTGGATCTGGGTGGCTGTTACCCTAGACCTCAGCCTGGGTCTGGATCTGGGTGACTGTTACCCTAGACCTCATCCTGGGTCTGGATGTGGGTGACTGTTACCCTAGACCTCATCCTGGGTCTGGATGTGGGTGACTGTTACCCTAGACCTCAGCCTGGGTCTGGATCTGGGTGACTGTTACCCTAGACCTCAGCCTGAGTCTGGATCTGGGTGACTGTTACCCTAGACCTCAGCCTGGGTTTGGGTGGCTGTTACCCTAGACCTCAGCCTGGGTCTGGATCTGGGTGACTGTTACCCTAGACCTCAGCCTGAGTCTGGATCTGGGTGACTGTTACCCTAGACCTCAGCCTGAGTCTGGATCTGGGTGGCTGTTACCCTAGACCTCAGCCTGGGTCTGGATCTGGGTGACTGTTACCCTAGACCTCAGCCTGGGTCTGGATCTGGGTGGCTGTTACCCTAGACCTCAGCCTGGGTCTGGATCTGGGTGACTGTTACCCTAGACCTCATCCTGGGTCTGGATGTGGGTGACTGTTACCCTAGACCTCAGCCTGGATGAGTGACTGTTACCCTAGACCTCAGTCTGGGTCTGGGTGACTGTTACCAAGGTTGGAGGTACAGGCTCCCAGGTGAGGTGTGGAGGTGCAGGCTCCCAGGTGAGGTGTGGAGGTGCAGGCTCCCAGGTGAGGTGTGGAGGTGCAGGTGCAGGCTCCCAGGTGAGGTGTGGAGGTGCAGGTGCAGGCTCCCAGGTGAGGTGTGGAGGTGCAGTCTCCCAGGTGAGGTGTGGAGGTTCAGGCTCCCAGGTGAGGTGTGGAGGTGCAGGTGCAGGCTCCCAGGTGAGGTGTGGAGGTGCAGGTGCAGGCTCCCAGGTGAGGTGTGGAGGTGCAGTCTCCCAGGTGAGGTGTGGAGGTTCAGGCTCCCAGGTGAGGTGTGGAGGTGCAGGTGCAGGCTCCCAGGTGAGGTGTGGAGGTGCAGGTGCAGGCTCCCAGGTGAGGTGTGCAGGTGCAGGCTCCCAGGTGAGGTGTGGAGGTGCAGGTGCAGGCTCCCAGGTGAGGTGTGGAGGTTCAGGCTCCCAGGTGAGGTGTGGAGGTGCAGGCTCCCAGGTGAGGTGTGGAGGTGCAGGTGCAGGCTCCCAGGTGAGGTGTGGAGGTTCAGGTGCAGGCTCCCAGGTGAGGTGTGGAGGTGCAGTCTCCCAGGTGAGGTGTGGAGGTTCAGGCTCCCAGGTGAGGTGTGGAGGTGCAGGTGCAGGCTCCCAGGTGAGGTGTGGAGGTGCAGGTGCAGGCTCCCAGGTGAGGTGTGGAGGTGCAGGCTCCCAGGTGAGGTGTGGAGGTGCAGGCTCCCAGGTGAGGTGTGGAGGTGCAGGTGCAGGCTCCCAGGTGAGGTGTGGAGGTACAGGCTCCCAGGTGAGGTGTGGAGGTGCAGGTGCAGGCTCCCAGGTGAGGTGTGGAGGTGCAGGCTCCCAGGTGAGGTGTGGAGGTTCAGGCTCCCAGGTGAGGTGTGGAGGTGCAGGTGCAGGCTCCCAGGTGAGGTGTGGAGGTGCAGGTGCAGGCTCCCAGGTGAGGTGTGGAGGTGCAGGTGCAGGCTCCCAGGTGAGGTGTGGAGGTGCAGGCTCCCAGGTGAGGTGTGGAGGTTCAGGTGCAGGCTCCCAGGTGAGGTGTGGAGGTGCAGGTGCAGGCTCCCAGGTGAGGTGTGGAGGTACAGGTGCAGGCTCCCAGGTGAGGTGTGGAGGTGCAGGCTCCCAGGTGAGGTGTGGAGGTGCAGGTGCAGGCTCCCAGGTGAGGTGTGGAGGTTCAGGTGCAGGCTCCCAGGTGAGGTGTGGAGGTTCAGGTGCAGGCTCCCAGGTGAGGTGTGGAGGTGCAGGCTCCCAGGTGAGGTGTGGAGGTACAGGCTCCCAGGTGAGGTGTGGAGATGCAGGTGCAGGCTCCCAGGTGAGGTGTGGAGGTGCAGGTGCAGGCTCCCAGGTGAGGTGTGGAGGTGCAGGCTCCCAGGTGAGTTGTGGAGGTGCAGGCTCCCAGGTGAGGTGTGGAGGTGCAGGCTCCCAGGTGAGGTGTGGAGGTGCAGGTGCAGGCTCCCAGGTGAGGTGTGGAGGTGCAGGTGCAGGCTCCCAGGTGAGGTGTGGAGGTGCAGGCTCCCAGGTGAGGTGTGGAGGTGCAGGTGCAGGCTCCCAGGTGAGGGTTGGAGGTGCAGGCTCCCAGGTGAGGTGTGGAGGTGCAGTCTCCCAGGTGAGGTGTGGAGGTTCAGGCTCCCAGGTGAGGTGTGGAGGTGCAGGTGCAGGCTCCCAGGTGAGGTGTGGAGGTGCAGGTGCAGGCTCCCAGGTGAGGTGTGGAGGTGCAGGCTCCCAGGTGAGGTGTGGAGGTTCAGGCTCCCAGGTGAGGTGTGGAGGTGCAGGTGCAGGCTCCCAGGTGAGGTGTGGAGGTGCAGGTGCAGGCTCCCAGGTGAGGTGTGGAGGTGCAGGTGCAGGCTCCCAGGTGAGGTGTGGAGGTGCAGGCTCCCAGGTGAGGTGTGGAGGTTCAGGTGCAGGCTCCCAGGTGAGGTGTGGAGGTGCAGGTGCAGGCTCCCAGGTGAGGTGTGGAGGTGCAGGTGCAGGCTCCCAGGTGAGGTGTGGAGGTGCAGGCTCCCAGGTGAGGTGTGGAGGTGCAGGTGCAGGCTCCCAGGTGAGGTGTGGAGGTTCAGGTGCAGGCTCCCAGGTGAGGTGTGGAGGTGCAGTCTCCCAGGTGAGGTGTGGAGGTGCAGGCTCCCAGGTGAGGTGTGGAGGTGCAGGCTCCCAGGTGAGGTGTGGAGGTGCCAGGTGTTGCAGGCTCCCAGGTGAGGTGTGTGAGGTGCAGGCTCCCAGGTGAGGTGTGGAGGTGCAGGTGCAGGCTCCCAGGTGAGGTGTGGAGGTGCAGGTGCAGGCTCCCAGGTGAGGTGTGGAGGTGCAGGCTCCCAGTGAGGTGTAGGTGCAGGTGCAGGCTCCCAGTGAGGTGTGGAGGTTCAGGTGCAGGCTCCCAGGTGAGTGTGGAGGTTCAGGTGCAGGCTCCCAGGTGAGGTGTGGAGGTGCAGGCTCCCAGGTGAGGTGTGGAGGTACAGGCTCCCAGGTGAGGTGTGGAGATGCAGGTGCAGGCTCCCAGGTGAGGTGTGGAGGTGCAGGTGCAGGCTCCCAGGTGAGTGTGGAGGTGCAGGCTCCCAGGTGAGGTGTGGAGGTGCAGGCTCCCAGGTGAGGTGTGGAGGTACAGGCTCCCAGGTGAGGTGTGGAGATGCAGGTGCAGGCTCCCAGGTGAGGTGTGGAGGTGCAGGTGCAGGCTCCCAGGTGAGGTGTGGAGGTGCAGGCTCCCAGGTGAGGTGTGGAGGTGCAGGCTCCCAGTGAGGTGTGGAGGTGCAGGCTCCCAGGTGAGGTGTGGAGGTGCAGGTGCAGGCTCCCAGGTGAGGTGTGGAGGTGCAGGTGCAGGCTCCCAGGTGAGGTGTGGAGGTGCAGGTGCAGGCTCCCAGGTGAGGTGTGGAGGTGCAGGTGCAGGCTCCCAGGTGAGGGTTGGAGGTGCAGGCTCCCAGGTGAGGTGTGGAGGTGCAGGCTCCCAGGTGAGGTGTGGAGGTGCAGGCTCCCAGGTGAGGTGTGGAGGTGCAGGTGCAGGCTCCCAGGGTGCGCTTTGCTCTCCTGGTAGCAAGTGGTGAGAACACGCTTGGGAGGTCGTATCCAGGAAGCTGTTCTGTGATCAGTGTTCCGGTGGCTGAGGCTGGTCACGTGGGCAGAGCTGGCGCGCCGCGAGGTTCCAGGCTCCCAGTGGAAAGTAGGGCGCAGCCTCAGCCACACTGTGTTTGTGAGCAGCTTCAGCACCGGGAGGTACTCTGATCAGGCACTGAGTCCAGAAGCCAGCCAGGGACCAGCCTTGCAGCAGGCCCCAGTAATGCAGGCTGTCTGAGCCTGCTAGGTTTAACTCTTTGATGACAGTAGCTCAGCCCTGTGATTAGCACCTATGGAATGTGCGTGGACTTGTCTGCTTAGGGATGCACTTATTTATGAACCTTGGGTGCTGTTGAAGTGGGTTTCATCCTTCTGGCTTCGCAGACTGCTGAGTGAGGGGTTTGGTGCAGTGGCCCTGTGGATTCGAGCTCCGACCTCCTGTGAGGGTCTGTGTATTTCCTGGTACTCTGACCCCGGTGCAGAGCTGAGCTCACTTCCCGTTCCTTACCCACTTTGAGTTCAGGTGTTTCGTTCCTTCCTGAGGCCTGCTGCTGGGGAGCGAGTAGTTGGGGGTGTGTGCACCTCCCACGAAACCTGTGCTGTGGGATCTGAAACTTACCTCTAGCTTACTTTAGAGAGCTTCTTTATTGTCCAAAGTGGCAAGGACACATAGAACCGAAAGTACATGTAAAATTAGTGCAGGGTGGGCGTCGTGGTGCAGCAGGTTAAGCAGCCGCCGGCATGCCTGGATCCCGCATCGCCCTGCCGGTTCTGGTCCCAGCTGCTCTGCTTCCGATCCAGCTTCCTGCTCACGCATCCTGAGAGGAGGTCGTGGATTGTGGTCTGAGTGCCTGGGCCTCTGTCGCTCCTGGCTCCTGGCTCCAGCCTGGCTATTGTGGACATTTGGGAAGCCAACCAGCAGATGGAAGATCTCTGTGTTGCTCTGCCTTTCAAGTGGATGAAAATAATAAATAAGCATTTAAAAAATAATAAGATTAATCTGAACTAAGAAGATCGTCCTTTTTATATGTGTTATTAAACTTTAACAATATATTTGTTTATGGCCGGCGCCACGGTTCACTAGGCCAATCCTCCGCCTGCGGCACCGGCACCCCGGGTTCTAGTCCCTGTTGGGGCGCCGGATTCTGTGCTGGTTGCTCCTCTTCCTGTCCAGCTCTCTGCTGTGGCCCAGGAGTGCAGTGGAGGATGGCCCAAGTGCTTGGGTCCTGTACCCCATGGGAGACTGGGAGGAAGCACCTGGCTCCTGGCTTTGGATCAGCGCAGTGCGCAGGCCGCAATGCGCCGGCTGTAGTGGCCTCTTGGGGTGAACCAACAGAAAAAGGAAGACCTTTCTCTCAGTCTCTCTCTCTCTCAGTCTAACTCTGCCTGTCTCTCTCTCTCTCTATATATATTACATATATATATATATATTTGTTTATTTGACAGAGTGACAGAGAGTGAGAGACAGATCTTTTACCCACTGGTTCACTCCCCAGATAGCTACAACCACCAGGACTGGGCCAGGCTGAAGCCCGGGGCCGGGAGCTCCGTCCTGTTCTCCCATTTGGATGGCAGGGGCCTGAGCACTTGGGCCATCTTCCGTTGCCTTCCCAGGTGCATTAACAGGGAGCTGGATCAGAAGAGGAGTGGCCAGGACACCAACTGGTGCCCACAGGGGACGCCGGAGCTGCAGGCAGTGGCTTAACCTGCTGAGCCGCAGTGCCAGCTGCACTTGGAGCCTTTCTGACCCCAGAGCCTGCTGATCGGAGCTGTGTTATCGGAGTGGACTTTGCTCTCCGGGCTTTACTCTGTTTTCTGATTCTTTCTGTTAGTCCCTACTTGGTCTTCTTAGTGTTCGGTTTTCCACCTGTTAAGTAAGAGTCAAACTGTTTTAGCTAAATCCTGGCAGTGACACCAAACAGCTGTTGGAAATATGTCACTTCTTGGGAAAGCCTTATCCGTGGACAGTATATTTAAAAAAACCTTAACTTTGAGCCACTGCTCAGAGTGCCTGTCTCTGGCTCACCTTGGCATATGTGCCCACAGGTGCACTTCATCATGGGTCCTGTGAGCTTGGAGAGGGCACAGGTTAAAGGTGTGGTCAGAGGCAGAGGGCTGGATGGGAAGCAGCGGTGGCCTGTGCTGCTGTCTTGTCTGGCGGCAGCAGTGTGCGGTGAGAACTGCAGGGTCGACACCCCAAGCCACTCGGAGTGAGACCCAGTGCTTCAGGGCCACGCCCTCTGCGGGCCTCAGAATCCGGGGACTTATTTTCTGCTGAAGTTAACTTGTTGCTGGTTGCGATTTTTCTCTTTAATATTCTAAAATCATAATTTGTCCCTCTTGCCATCATCAGGGAGCATAATGTCCCCCCCCCCCCCCCCCGTGCCCCTTTGCAGTCACCATTCCTGCTGCCCCAGCTCCCGGCAGCCACTGATCCGTGGGAAAGAAAACCCGCTTTCCTTTAGGTAGAGATACACACAGTCTCTACCCTACTGGGTCCTGGGTTGTGCCGAAGAAAGAGGACGGTCACAGTTTGTTTCCTCTGAATGTGCTTTCTTACTGCCCATTTCCACTTAATTAGTCACTAGCATTTGGGTGTTTTGACGTAAAAGCAATAAATTCACTGGTTAAGGAGTTTTCTAAATGCACTTGAAGTAAAAACTGGACTTTAGCATCGTGGGTCTTTTGGAAGTGTGCAGCTTTTCACACACTGAGCTGTGTGATCCCGACCACAGAGCTGTCTGTGGTTTCTTACCCACGTCTCCAGTTTGCACCCTGCAAGGCCGCGGGGCTCTGTGAGGCTGGGCGGAGGCGGTGGGGCGGGGCTCTGTGAGGCTGGGCAGAGGAGCTTGGGGCCGGGCTCTGTGAGGCTGGGGCTCTGAGGCTGGGCGGGGCTCTGTGAGGCTGGGCGGGTCTTTGTGAGGCTGGGCGGAGGTGGTGGGGCGGGTCTCTGTGAGGCTGGGCGGGGCTCTGTGAGGCTGGGTGGAGGCGGTGGGGCGGGGCTCTGTGAGGCTGGGCGGAGGAGGTTGGGGTGGGGCTCTGTGAGGCTGGGCGGGGCTCTGAGACTGGGCGGAGGTGGTGGGGCGGGGCTCTGTGATTCTGGGGGCGGGGCTCTGTGAGGCTGGGTGGAGGCGGTGGGCGGGGCTCTGTGGCTGGGCGGGGCTCTGTGGCTGGGCAGAGGCGGTGGGTGGGGCTCTGTGAGGCTGGGCGGGGCTCTGTGAGGCTGGGTGGAGGCGGTGGGGCGGGGCTCTGTGAGGCTGGGCGGAGGAGGTTGGGGTGGGGCTCTGTGAGGCTGGGCGGGGCTCTGAGGCTGGGTGGAGATGGTGGGGCGGGGCTCTGTGAGGCTGGGCGGGGCTCTGTGAGGCTGGGTGGAGGCGGTGGGCGGGGCTCTGTGGCTGGGCGGGGCTCTGTGGCTGGGCGGAGGCGGTGGGCGGGGCTCTGTGAGGCTGGGAGCGGGGCTCTGTGAGGCTGGGAGCGGGGCTCTGTGAGGCTGGGGGCGGGGCTCTGTGAGGCTGGCGGAGGCGGTGGGCGGAGCTCTGAGGCTGGGCGGAGGAGGTTGGGGCGCTGTACTGGCCGAGACTGACCTGCTGTCCCCTGGTGTTGCTGCAGGTCTGGGACAGCAACCGTTTGTTTCCTAGCGCAGAGGAAGCCACGCTTTTCCTGGGAACCCTGGACACGATCTTCCTCTTCTCTTACGCTGTGGTAGGTCGTAGGGGTATTCCAGGGGTTCTCGCGGGGCACGTGTGAAAGGAAGTGACTGTAGAGCTGGAAGGGGGTGAGGGGTTTTGGATTTGTGGCTGGGAGGGGCAGTGTTTCTGAGGCTGCTCTTCGTGTTCTTCCCATCCGTTCATGTGTCAGTGGAGCCTTTACAGGGATGGGAAATCATCCCTGCCTCCGCAGGGCTGGGAGTGAGGGGAGACACGGTGACAAGGTGCCTTACAGGGTGGCTTTGCTGTGTGCCAAGGCGGGGAGGGGAAGTCCCAGCTGTCGCTGTTAGCGGTGGGCTGCAAGGACCTCTGGAGGAGGAGGTATTTGGGGGACGTGGCTGCAGCAGAGCAGCAGGATGAGGTCAGCGAGGCCCAGGACGCAGGCCTGCAGAGCCTTGGCGCCTCCCGAGCACTGGCAGCAGGCAGCCGCAGGACTGGCTCGTGTCTGGACGGCACACCTGCCGCCCGGGGCAGAGGCGCAGACAGCAGAACCCGGAGATGAGCTGGATGGCACACCTGCTGCCCGGGGCAGAGGCGCAGGACAGCAGAACCGGAGATGAGCTGGACGGCACACCTGCTGCCCGGGCAGAGGCGCAGGACAGCAGAACCGGAGATGAGCTGGGCGGCAGGTTGGGGTGGGGCTCAGGACAGAGGCGCAGGACAGCAGAACTGGAGATGAGCTGCACTCTCTGAAGTTTTTGTTGTAGGTCCTCATTAGAACATTTAAAATGACGTAGAATTGTATTTATGGGGAACAGTGTGCTATTTTGATCTATGTATACATTATAGAAAGATTGAGTCAAGCCAGTTAACGTATCTACTGCCTTGCCAGTTCACCAGTTTTTCTGGGAGGAGAGTTAAACAGGTGAAGGTGATTGGATCCGAGGAAGCAGTACCGGGGTGCGGGGAGGTGGCTCTGAGCGGTGTGGGAGGTGGCTCTGAGTGGTGTGGGAGGTGGCTCTGAGCCGTGTGGGAGGTGGCTCTGAGCGGTGTGGGAGGTGGCTGTGAGCCGTGTGGGAGGTGGCTCTGAGCCGTGTGGGAGGTGGCTCTGAGCCGTGTGGGAGGTGGCTCTGAGCCGTGCGGGGAGGTGGCTCTGAGCGGTGTGGGAGGTGGCTCTGAGTGGTGTGGGAGGTGGCTCTGAGCCGTGTGGGAGGTGGCTCTGAGCGGTGTGGGAGGTGGCTGTGAGCCGTGTGGGAGGTGGCTCTGAGCCGTGCGGGGAGGTGGCTCTGAGCCGTGTGGGAGGTGGCTCTGAGCGGTGCGGGGAGGTAGAGCCTGCAGTATTTGTTTCCTGTCAGACGTGCGGTAGAAGAGACAGGGATGCGTGAAGGGCACCCCCAGGTGCAGCCGTCGCAGCAGAGTGGGAGGCTCTGACACAAGTTTTGAGGGACTCACCTTTGGTTACATTTGAGGGACCTGTTATGGCCCAAATGAGGAAGAACAGACACCTGGTTCTTTTTTTTTTTTTAATTAATTTATTTATTTGAGAGGCAGAGTTACATCAAATGGCTGCAACAGCCAAGCTTCCTCCTGGTCTCCCATGTGGTCAGGCACCAGGCACGTGGGCCATCTTCCACTGCTTTCCCAGGTGCGCTAGCAGGGAGCTGGATCCTAAGAGGAGCAGCTGGGACAGGAACCAGCGCCCGTACGGGATGTTGGTGTCACAGGTTGAGGCTTAGCCTACGTGGCCGCAGCACCAGCCACTGTTGCCTGTCTTTAAAATGTGTCCACTTTGGGGCTGGCACTGTGGCTTCATGAGTTGAGCTGCCACCTGTGACACCGGCATCCCATGTGGGTGCCAGTTTGTGTCTGGGCTGCTCCTTCTCAGCTCCCTGTTAACAGCCTGGGAAAAGCAGTGGAGGATAGCCCAAGTGCTTGGGTCACTGCCACCCACGTGGGAGACCTGGATGAAGCTCCTGGCTCCTGGCTTCAGTCTGGCTCCACTTGGGGAGTGAACCAGTGGATAGAAGTTCTCTCTCTCTCTCTGTTTTTCCTTCTCTCTCTGCAACTCTGACTTTCAAATAAATAAATAAATCTTTAAAAATAGTGTCTTCTTATTAAAAGCATTTTAATTATCAGTGTCCTGGCAGTGTGTAATACTGTGTGGAAGTTCCAAAGTCATCTCTGAATATTTATTTATTATTGGACTATCTTCTCTTCGAAGAGGGGGCCTGTGGGAGCAGTCGGAGCAGATCTTACTTATGTAGCCGAGCCTCACCATGAGCTGAGCATTTCCTGGACAAAACCCTGTGGTACAGTTTGGAGCACGCCACGCTGGTGACGGGGCGCCTCCTTCTCTTTGTTCCTTTCATGGAGATTTTTCTCTCTCTTTCTTTCTTTCTTTCTTTCTTTCTTTCTTTCTTTCTTTCTTTCTTTCTTTCTTTCTTTCTTTCTTTCTTTTTTTGAGTTTCTATATGTTTCGTACAGATGCAATTATAATTTTAAAAAAGGTTTTTAGTTATTTGAAAAGCAGTGATACTCCCTTTTGCTGGCTCACTTCCCAAGCGCCAGCCGCAGTGTCGGCCAGGCCAGGCTACCGCCGGGAGCGTGGGACTCAGCCTGGGTGTCCGCGTGGGTGGCGGAAGCCCAGCTGCCTGCACCGTCACCTGCTGCCTCCCGTGGTGTGCGTGAGCCAGAACGCTGCTCCTGGGCGTGCAGCCAGGACTCAAACTCAGGCACCCAGATACAGGATGTGGCTTTCCCAAGTGGCGTCTCAACTGCTGTGCCAAACGCCCAACCCTCATAGTTGTTTTTTTTTTTTTTTTAAAGACTTATTTATTCAAATGAGTTCTGATAGAGACAGATCTTCCACTGGCTGGTTTACTCCCCAGATGGCTGCAGTGGCGGGGCCTGTGCCAAGCTGAAGCCAGGAGCTTTGTCGTCTCCCACGTGGGTGCAGGGGCCCAAGCACTTGGCCCGTCCTCTGCTGCTTTCCCAGGCCACAGCAGGGAGCTGGACCGGAAGTGGAGTAGCCGGGACTGGAACCGTGCCCTGATGGATGCCGACGTCGCAGGCGGCAGCTTTACCCGCTGCGCCACAGTGCCAGCCCCGCCTTGGCAGTTTTTTCGAAGAGACAGTGTACACTGAAAAGACCAACTCTGCTTTCTGTCATGGTTGGCTAGCCGGGTTAGACTCTTTTGCCTTTTTAAATATTTATTTATTTACTTGAGAACTAGACTTACAGAGGGAGAGACAGAGAGAGCGGTTCCTTCCATCCTTCAGTTCACTCCCCAATGGCAGCAACACCTAGAGCTGGCCAGGCTGAAGCCAGGAGCCAGGAGTTTCATCCAGATCTCCCACGTGGATGCAGGGGCCCAGCACTTGGGTTATCATCCCCTGCTTCCCCGGTGCACTAGCAGGGAGCTGGATCGGAAGTGGGCAGCCGGGACTTGACCTGTGCTGACGTGGGACGCAGGTTCTGCAGGCCGCAGCGAACCCGCTGTGCCACGGTGCTGGCACCTGAGAAGTCTGTTCCCTTTATTATTCATAGCAAAAGACTGTGTGTGTGAGTGACAGCAGGGGGCCATCGAGTCTGCTTGAATGCTTAGCTACACCTCTTTTGAGGAAGTGAGAGCTTAACGATGAGGGAGAAACATTTATTACCACCTCCATCGTCTGGACGTTCTACAATATTGAGACAGTTAATTTGGTAGAAATACTTGGTCCTGTCTGAACTTAGGGTTTACGTGAAGACCTTTATTTATTGTCTGTATTTATGGGAGAAACTTACAGTCTTGCTGTCTCTTTCCTGCCATGACCTCAGCATTTTAATTCCTGCCACACTGTGGGAGGAGAGCAAAAGGTAGGACGTTCTGTACCTGTTAGTGGCTCTGCCTCTCCTCCGGCCACTTGTGCTGTCATGAAGCCCAGGGTCAGAGTAAACAGGCAGCCAGTGTGCCCTGGAGGCTTCTGTCCCACCTGTTACAAGGTTGGAGCTGAAGCTGCAGGACACAGTTACACATCCTAACTCCCATGCAAACAGCTGAGAGAAGTCCCTCTGGGAAGCTGATAAGTGGTGTGTATTCTTTTTTTTTAAGAGATGTATTTGAAAGTCAGAGTTACAGAGAGGCAGAGGCAGAGAGAGGTCTTCCATCTGCTGGTTCACTCCTCAGTTGGCCGCAATGGCCAGAGCTGTGCTGATCCGAAGCCAGGAGCCAGGAGCTTCTTCTGGGTCTCTCACGTGGGTGCAGGGACCCAAGTACTTGGGCCATCTTCTACTGCTTTCCCAGGCCGTAGAGAGAGCTGAATTGGAAGTAGAGCAGCTGGGACTTGAACAGGCGCCCATATGGGATGCTGGCACTACAGATGGCGGCTTTACCCACTGTGCTACTGCGCTGGCCCCAGTGTGTTTATTCTTAGAAAGTGATTATATTTGGGGCCGGTGGTATAGCATAAAGGGTCAAGCTGCTGCTTGCAGTGCTGCTGGCATCCCATATGGGCACCGGTTCTAGTCCCAGCTGCTCCACTACCGATCCAGCTCCGTGCTATGGCCTGGGAAAGCAGTAGAAGATGGTCCAAGTGCTTGGGCTCCTGGACCCATTTGGAGACCTGGAGGAGGCTCCTGGCTTCGGATTGGCCCAGCTCTGGCTGTTGCAGCCTTTTGGGGAGTGAACCAGTGGATGGGAGACTTCTCTTTCCGCCTCTGCCTCTCTGCAACTCTGCCTTTCAAATAAATAAATCTTTAAAAAAAAATTCCAACAGCAATTAAATAAAGTGATTATATTTGTGTGCTTGTTTTATTAGTTTTTTTTTCCAGTAATAACTGGCATTCCCTTTGACTTTTTTTTTTTAAAGATTTATTTATTTATTTGAAAGAGTTTACAGAGAGGCAGAGGCAGAAAGAAAGAGAGAGAGAGAGCCTAAGAGAGAAAGGTCTTCAATTCCCTGGTTCACTCCCAAATGGCCACAATGCCTGGAGCTTCTTCCGGGTCTCCTGCGTGGGTGCAGGGGCCCAAGAATTTGGGCCATCTTTTGCTGTTTTCTCAGGCCATAGCAGAAAGCTGAATCAGAAGTGGCGCAGCTGGGACTTGAACCGACGCCCATATGGGATGCTGGCACTGCAGGCGGTGGCTTTACCCTGCTTCACCACAGCGCGCCCCTGACTTTTTTTTTTTTTTTTTTTAAAGAGATTTATTTATTTGAAAGGCAGAGAGAGAGGGAGAGACAGAGAGAGAGAGAGCATCCATCCATTGGTTCACTCCTCAAATGGCCACAATGGCCAAGGCTGGGTCAGACCAAAGCCAGGAGCCAGGAGCTTCTTCTGGGTCTCCCACAGCGGTGCAGGGTCCTGAGCACTCGGGCCATCCTCTGCTGCTTTCCCAGGCGCGTAGGCTGGGAGCTGGATTGGAAAGTGGAGCAGCTGACTCTTGAACCTGCACCCTTATGGGATGCCGGTGCTGCAGGCACTGGCTTAACCTGCTGCACCACAGCGCTGACCCAGAGTTATTCTTGTTTTCTCCCTCGGGGAATCAGGTAAAACCAGAGTGCGCTCTGAATTACGGTGCTGAGTGCGGTCTAGGATGCAAAGCTCCTGGTCACTTCCTGAAACATCTGTGGAACCAGCCTGTCGAGGCAGGCGAGATTTAGTTCTAAGTCCTCAGCGTTTTGTTGGCGGCATGTGCTTTGCAGTGCTTGTAACTTTTCCAGACTGTGATGTGATTGAAACTGTAAGTCAAATGTTCTGTTTTTAGGGTCTTTTCATCAGTGGCATCGTTGGGGATCGGCTGAACTTGCGATGGGTTCTGTCTTTCGGCATGTGCTCTTCTGCCTTGGTGGTGAGTTGCGAAGGTCTTGCGGGTGTTGTTATTTTGGTTAGGTATTTTATAGTCCAAGCAACCCCCGTACCCTTCTCTGTAGGCCAGAGCAGTGATATTGGTGTTCAGTGTTCAGTCCCTGGCGTGGGTCTTTTAGAGACGACTCAGGCCCTTTCGTGGGCTCTCGGGCACCTGCAGGGTCTCGGAGAGTCTGCGGAGCAGCGTCAGGGCCCTTCCTGGGCGCAGCCTCCTCGCAGCCGGAGCTGCCCTCCGCCTCGCCTGCTGCTCAGACCCGACCGCCTTCCTCAGCCCACCCTGCTGCTCTCTGCCTTTCGCTTTTGCTCCGCTGGGAGTGGCCCCTTCAGCCTCTGTGTCCACATCAGGTCCTGGGCCAGCTGGCACCGCTTCCACAATGCCCGGCTCTGCCAGCCCCTCTCCTGGGAGCAATCACTGTTCCTCTTCTCTGCTCCCAAGCCGGGGTCCCCTCGCAGCCTGGGGTCCCTTACGTGGTCTGCTTGGAGCCTGGCCGTTTCTCTTCCAGCCTGGCCCTCCCTAGGAGTGGGTGGCATGTGAGTCATGATCGCGGATTTTCTAGATGGTGCAGCCGCGGTTTCCTCCCACCTTCTGTGAATTCCCTGTGCCTCAGCCTCTGCCTTCGAGAAGGTGGATTCCATATCACCTTCTCCCAGGCTCGGCGTGGGGCCGCTAGGAGTGCCTGGACGTCGGCTTTTGGAACAGTGCCTAGAGCCTTAATTGCTATGTGGGGCAAGATCCAGGCCTGCTTCACCTTGATTTGCTTACTGGCTCCTAGCGAGAGGTTTTTTGATTGACAGAGCACACGGGTTATCAGTGTCTCACTGTCTGCCTTGTGATGCAGGGAGGAGGTCTCCCCTTACCATTTTAGAGATGGAAGCACTTTGTTCACAGGCTGCTCACTTATTTCTAAGCGTCCATATACTTTTAAATTTTTTTCAAGTATTAAAAGTTTTTTTTTTTTTTTATCTTTTATTTAATGAATATAAATTTCCAAAGTACGACTCATGGGTTACAATGGCTTCCCCCCCCATACCGTCCCTCCCACCAACAACCCTCCCCTTTCCCACTCCCTCTCCCCTTCCATTCACATCAAGATTCATTTTCGATTATCTTAATATATAGAAGATCAGCTTAGTTCAAGTATTAAAAGTTGCAGTGTGTGCGTCAGCCCACCCTTCCCGTGAGCAGTTCTGTGTTGGAGCGAACAAGTGTAGTTGTCATCACCGCCCCTCCCCCTGCAGCCCTTGGCAGCCTCTCCCAGTTTTTCTGTCTTTAGACTTCCACTTGTAACTAGAATCAGACAGCCATATGTACTGCTTTGTTTTTTCCAAACCCACGGCAAGTATTTCTGAAATCGACTTCGACTGCACGTGAGGAACCGGCCGCCGGTGGGAGGTGCTGAACAAGCCGTGTGGGCCCCCTCACACGGAGGCTGCTGCAGTCCCGGCAGCTCCACTCGCTGAACTCTGACCCAGCAGAGCCCGGCACTGCCCTCTGGGGATTGCCATTCCCCTCGCAGGCGCGGCAGAGAGAGGTCCAGGCAAGAGATGTAAAATGAAGTACAGTACGAGGCATTAGATTTATTTATTTATTTGAAAGGCAGTTACAGAGAGACGGAGGCAGAGAGAGAGAGAGAGAGAGAGAGAGAGAGGTCCTCCATCTGCCAGTTCACTCCCCAGGTGGCCACTATGGCTGGAGCTGTGCTGATGCGAAGCCAGGAGCCAGGAGCTTCTTCCGGGTCTCCCACGCGGGTGCAGGGGCCCAAGCACTGCTTTCCCAGGCCACAGCAGGGAGCTGGATCAGAAGAGGAGCAGCGGGGACTCAAACAGGCGCCCAGGTGGGATGCTGGCACTGCCGGCAGCAGCCGCACCCGCTACACCACAGCGCCGGCCCCAGAGGCGTTGGCTTCTGCAGACGAAGATGCAAGCAGGAGGGTGACGGTGCCGTGGCTTTCTGTCACCGGGTCTCCGCGTCTGGTCAGCGGTGACCTGGTGCTGCCTCTGAGCGGGAGCGTTGTCGAGTCGCTGCTGGCCCCGGGTGTGTGCTGAATTCTTCATTTCCTGTTGCTGTGCGAGTCACATGTCCCTCTCTCCCCCTCTCCCTGAAGGTGTTTGTCTTCGGCACGGTCACCGAGTGGCTGCGTTTCTACAACAGATGGCTGTACTGCGGCCTGTGGATCGTGAACGGCCTGCTGCAGAGCACGGGGTGGCCCTGCGTGGTTGCTGTCATGGGCAACTGGTTTGGGAAAGCTGGGTACGCCACTCCTTCCCCTCCCGGACCGTGTTGACGTGCTTTTCACGTTGGATCATTCGGGCTTTCTGCAAAGCCAACTGATTCTGTGCTCTGGACGGTGCCCGCGTCTTCCCTCTGGTTAGAAGGTCAGAGCAGTTCGGGGAGCCTAGGTTTCGTGTTGGAGCCCACTGGGATGGGGCTGACCTCAGGGGTGGTGTAGGCCAGCGAGATGCAGTGGCTCTGTGGGCCTGCGTGCAGTGCGGCTGAAGCGCCTCTCCCATCAGGACGCACAGGCCCCGTCCCACCCTGCCTGTGGCTCCCTCTGAGTTTGCTCTTTCTCCCAACCCCACCGCCCCTGTTTTTGGGACCCAGTGACCAACTTCAACCTTTGGCATTGGCGATAAGGAAACTGAAGCCAGGAGTCGCCTGTGAGGCGTGGCCTAGGTCACGTGACAGGGACTCAGATGAACTTAATGAGACTGAACGTTGCCCCCAAGCCTTCAAGTACCCGTTAGACGGTTTATGTTGGACTTTACCGGTGTGGTGTGACTTAACCTTCAGTTTGTAGGGAGGAGGTGAGTTGAGGGAATGAAGACTGTGTTATTGTTTGCCATTGCTGTGGCGCTCGATGCAGGGATTCTATCATTTTTCCTGGGCTGATGGTTTTGTGTCGTCAGATGCATTTTTACCTCCGGGAAGGCTCAGCACTCTTTGTGTTCCGTTCTTTCGTTTGGGGACCAGTGCAGGCAGCAGGTGCTGGCCGCCCACTGCGGTGGGCACGTGCTCTGGCTGTAGCCTCCCCGCTTGCACAGTGCGAGGTCACGTGCTTGTCCGTGATCTGTAGCACTGTGACACTCCACTGTAAAGTGTCCGTGGCTAGGCTGGGCATCACTCTGATTCTGTTTCAGCCTGCTGGTGACTTCTGTGGCATTTTAACTCTCGCACCTGGTTTAACAGAATTGCTTTGTAAAAGGCATTTCTCTGTGACTTTTTTTTTTTTTCTTAAAGATTTATTTTATTTATTTGAAAGGCAGAGTTACAGAGAGAGGTAAGAACAGAGAGAGAGATCTTCCATCCACTGGTTCACTCCCCAGATGGCTGCAACGGCTGGAGCTGCGCTGATCTGAAGCCCGGAGCCAGGAGCTTCTTCCAGGTCTCCCACATGGGTGCAGGGGCCCAAGCACTTGGGCTGTCTTCCACTGCTTTCCCAGGCCATAGCATAGAGCTAGATTGGAAGAGGAGCAGCCGGGAGTAGAACCGGCGCCCATATGGGATGCTGGCGCTTCAGGCCAGGGCTTTAACCTGTTGTGCCGCAGCGCTGGCCTCTCCCTGTGACATTTTAATGTTGTTTTGGAGTAGGTCGTGCTGCCTGCTCATGTACTGTTTTTTAAAATATTTTATTTATTTGAGAGTTAGAGTTATAGACAGAGAACGGGAAAGACAGAGAGAGAGGTCTTCCATCCGCTGGTTCACTCCCCAAATGGCTGCAACAGCCAGAGCTGTGCCGATCCGAAGTCAGGAGCTTCTTCTGGGTCTCCCACGTGGGTGCAGGGGCCTGAGGACTTGGGGCATCTTCTGCTTTCCCAGGCCATAGCAGAGAGCTGGATCGGAAGAGGAGCAGCTGGGACTCAAACTAGCGCCCATATGGGATGCCAGCGCTGCAGGTGGTGGCTTTACCTGCTACGCCGCAGCGCTGGCACACATGTACTGTGGTTGTTTTTTTTTTTTTTTTTTTTTTTTTCACAGGCAGAGTGGACAGTGAGAGACAGAGAGAAAGGTCTTCCTTTACCGTTGGTTCACCCTCCAATGGCCGCCGCGGCCGGCGCGCTGCGGCCGGCGCACCGCGCTGATCCAATGGCAGGAGCCAGGTACTTATCCTGGTCTCCCATGGGGTGCAGGACCCAAGCACTTGGGCCATCCTCCACTGCACTCCCAGGCCACAGCAGAGAGCTGGCCTGGAAGAGGGGCAACCGGGACAGAATCCGGCGCCTGACCAGGACTAGAACCCGGTGTGCCGGCGCCGCAAGGCAGAGGATTAGCCTAGTGAGTCGCGGTGCCGGCCAACATGTACTGTTTTTTATTAGAGATTTTTATTAGAGATTTTTATTTTAAGGTAACATTTTTCTATTCATGATTTTAAAAGTTATACTCAGGATACTTGTTTACTCTAAGCAAACCAGAAAATAGGAATGAATAAAGAGGAGCAACGTTTAGCCTGTCAAACGCCTGTATCTCATGGAGTGCCGGAGTTCGGTTCCCAGCTCCGGCTTCTGACTTGTGAGTCTGGCTTCCTTAGGAGAGGGTTGTCTTGGCTTCAATCATTGGGTTCCTGGCATCCACGTGGTATGCTTGGGTTGAGTTTCTGGTTCCCAGCTTTGGCCTGGCCAGTCCTTCCCACGTGGGGATTTGGTGAGTGAACCAGTGAATAGGGATATATAATTTATGAGACAAGTAGGTCTTTGGCAGTAGTGACTGAGCAGTGTGACCACTTATTACTGGACCAATCACAAAGAAAGCCACTGCAGTTTAATTTTGAAAGAAAAGCAGTTTTTTTTTAAACTTTATTGTACAGAACAAAAGAGTTACAATTTTATAGTTATTTTCACACTCAGAGCATGAGTAAAAACTAGTAACTTTCTTACAAAAATATTTAGGACTCTAACAGTTAGACAATGTGCATTTACGTCTTGTCTTCTAAAGATTCATTAGGGAGAGGTCTACCTGAGAAAAGTCCCCAGTAAACCCACAGTCTTTGGCTCAGCTGACCCATCAGGAAAGTCCAGACATCAGCTTTCTGCCAGTCTGGAGGTCTGTGTTCTTTGATCTGTTGTCATGTGTTCACAGGCTTGTACAGTGTTTGCTGAAATTGATGTCTGCTAAACGGTCTTTGCCTTAACCCATGTTGTTCCATTCAGTCCAAATACAATCTCCAGTGGATGGAGTTTTCCACTTCCAGTATGGTCTCACAGTCTTGAGCTAACAGCTCAAACTCACTTTAAAAAGCAGCCCATCTTCACTGGATTCTGTCCCAGTTGCTCCTCCTCCAGTCCAGCTCTCTGCTGTGGTCCAGGAGTGCAGTGGAGGATGGCCCAAGTGCTTGGGCCCTGCACCCCATGGGAGACCAGGAGGAAGCACCTGGCTCCTGGCTTTGGATTGGCGCAGCATGCCAACCGTAGCGGCCATTTGGGGAGTGAACCAATGGAAGGAAGACCTTTCTCTCTGTCTCTCTCTCTCACTGTCCACTCTGCCTGTTAAAAAAAAAAAAAAAAAAAAAAAAAAAAACCAGCCCATCTTGTCCAGTTACACTCATCCGTTGGCTTGTCCACAGCTGTCAGTGTAGACCGTCTTTGGAGGAAAGCAGTTTACAAACAGGTGACCCGGACGGTCCACCGGATCTCCCACGGCTAAAATCGCAGTTTCTGCCAGCTAGCTTCCTTCTGATGGGCCCGCCAGGACCCTCCTGATGGGCTAGCGTGTTTGGCAATGTTGGGCATTGTAGAACTGGAGAGGACTTCGAGACTCAGGTCATTTATCTTCTACACGGGGAATCGGAGTGATGTCCCGCGAACCTGGCCCGACATGGCTGTTATTTCCGTTCACTCGTGCTGCTGCTCCTGTACGTCAGGGTTGTGTTTTGTTTTGTTTGTAAATTTTGTTTATTTATTTGGGAAGCAGAAATAGAGCTTCTGTTCACTGTCACTCCCCAAATGCCTGTAATGACCAAGGCTGGGCCGGGGCCGAAGCCGGGAGTCGGGAGCCAGGAGCGCAGGTCTCCCGTGTGGGCAGCAGGGACTTGCTGCCTCGCGGAGTCTGCACTCCCAGGCAGCTGGAGTCAGGTGCTGAACCCAGGCCTACCTAACCAGTCTTCTCACCGCTGGGCTAAGCACCCGCCCCTGAGGCATGATTTTGCAACAGATGTTGACTCTGTGTCCAGCACTTGTTCTTTGCAGAGTATAGCTTCCTACAGGCGAGGACACCGAGTGTTACCTTGTGACCTGTGTGTGGTTACACAGCTGGGAGTGGCAGAGCCCCGGCTGTCACTGAACGTGTTGTTTCCTTGTTCTGGTATAACATTCCTTACGTATCAGTGAGGTTAGAAAAGTGTTGAAGCCGGCGCCGCGGCTCACTAGGCTAATCCTCCGCCTTGGGGTGCCGGCACCCCGGGTTCTAGTCCTGGTCGGGGCATCGGATTCTGTCCCAGTTGCCCCTCTTCCAGGCCAGCTCTCTGCTGTGGCCCGGGAGTGCAGTGGAGGATGGCCCAAGTGCTTGGGCCCTGCACCCCATGGGAGACCAGGAGAAGTACCTGGCTCCTGCCATTGGATCAGCGTGGTGCGCCGGCTGCAGCGCGCCGGCCGCGGCGGCCATTGGAGGGTGAACCAACGGCAAAGGAAGACCTTTCTCTCTGTATCTCTCTCACTGTCCACTCTGCCTGTCAAAAAAAAAAAAAAAAAAAAGTGTTGAAAGAGTAGGAATGTGGACTTAGCACAGTGTGTTATCGCATGCATCAAATAGAATAAAACATGAATGTGACCTTTAAAAAAGTTAACCTTTGAAAACCGTTTTCCTTTGAGCAACCCTACTGCTGTTCCCAAGGTCAAGCTAGCCATTTCCCTGAGACGATTGTAACAGATTCTCTCCCCTAGACTCCTCCTCTGCCCAGCCATTTAAAAAAATTTTTTTTAAGATTATTTATTTGAGAGGCAGAGTTAGAAGGAGGGAGGGACAGAGAGAGCAGAGAGAGAGGTCTTCCATCGTCTGGTTCACCCCCCAGTGGCCACAACGGCTAGAGCTAGGCCCACCCAAAGCCAGGAGCCAGGAGCTTCTTTCAGGTCTCCCATGTGTGTGCAGGGGCCCGAGGACTTGGGGCGTCTTCCACTGCTTTCCCAGGGCATAGCAGAAAGTGGATCAGAAGAGGGGCAGCTGGGACTTGAACTGGTGCCCACATGGGATGCTGGTGCTGCAGGCGGAGGCTTAACATACCGTGCCACAGCGCTGGACCTTATCCATTTTTTTAAAAAAATGACTTTACTAAGGTACACAATAAGCTGCACACGTTTGAAATGTGCTTTTTGGTTAGTCTTGGTTGTGTACACCTAGAAACCACCATCTCAGTGAAGGTGATGAACACATCCAACACACCCAAGAGCTCCTTCATGCCCCTGGGCGATGGACTCTTCCACTGACTGCTCTCTGTCACTTAATTTGAATTAAAAAAGTTATTTAAATGGAACCATACAGTGTGTATTCTTTGTCTTTTTTTTTTTTTTTTTTTTTTTTTTGAAAAGATCTAGTTTACAGGCAGAGTTAGAGAGAGAGAGAGGTGGAGGGAGGAGGAGGAGAGATCTTCCAGCTGGATCTCCCATGTGGGTGACGGGCCATCGTCCACTGCTTTCCCAGGCTCATTTTTAGCAGGGAGCTGGATTGCAAGTGGAGCAGCTGGTCTAGAACTGGTGCTCCCATGGGATGCCGGCGTTACAGGCAGCAGCTAACCTGCTGGCCACTATGCCAGCCTCTGTCTGCCAGTTATTACTCAGCATAATTGAAGACTCATGCACATTGTATGTGTTGCTAGGTCATTCCTTTTGGTAACTATGTGTGTGCCCAAGCACAGTGTATTGTTTATCTCTTCACCTCTTGGCGAACATTTGGGTTGTTTTCAGTTTCTGGCTACCACAAGTGAGGCTGCTGTGAGCATGTGTGTTCAAGTTCTTGTACAGACATATGCTTTCCCTTCTCCTGGATTCATAGCCAGGAGTAGAGTGGCAGGTCGTGTGGTGGGTGTTTACCTTTTTAAGAAACCAGCAATTTCTCCCGAAGTGGTCGCTCCGTTTCACGTTCCTCGCGGTGGTGTGGAAGAGTTCTGGTTGCTCTGCATCCTTGCTGACACTGGAATCAGAGGCAGAGCCGAGACCCCCGCCCAGCACCATGTGTGATAAGGGGTGTGTGTGTCCCAAGGGGCATCTTAGTCTGTGCAGAATGCCTGCTGCGTTGTGTATGTGTGTGTGTGTCTAGTGATTTGTTTATTTACTTGAAAGTCAAGGTTACAGAGATAGAGGGAAGGACAGACAGAGATCTTCATCTGCTGGCTCACTCCCCAGATGGTTGCGATGGCCAGGGCTGAGCCAGGCCGAAGCCAGGAGCTTCATCCAGCTCCCCCATGTGGGCGCAGGGGCCCAAACACTTGCACCATCCTCTTCTGCTTTCCCAGGCCATTAGCAGGGAGCTAGATCAGAAGTGGAGCAGCCAGGACTCCAACTGTTACCCAGATGGGACGCTGGTTTCACAGCCTAACCTGTGCCACAACACCTGCCCCTTTTGTGATCATTTTTTTTATAAGTTTTTTTTTTTTAGTGTATGTAAAGTATCTTGAAATCTTGCTGCCTTTTCAAAAAATATTTATTTTGAGATGATTGTAGATTCTTGCTCTTAAGCATTCTGTCACTTGTTTTTGTTTCATTTTAATGTTTGTTTTCACCTATTTGAAAGAGCAACAGTGAGAGAGTGTGTGTGTGTGTGAGAGCTTCCATCTGCCATTCACTCTTCAGATGCCCACAGCAGCCAGGGACGGGAACCCCAGCTGGTCTCCCACAAGCACGTGGGCGGCTTCTGTCTTTCCAGGCACATTAGCAGGAAGCAGAATCAGAAGCAGAGTAGCTGGGACTCAGGTATGATACGGGTATTCTAAACTGTAGTTTAACTGTGCCACAGTGCCTCTCCTGTTTTCTTATCCCTGAGTTCTGAGAGTTCCTTAGACACCAGAGACGAGTCTCTGATCACATGGATGACACGCAGATATTTTCTCCGAGTTTTTGGCTTATCTTTAAGTTTTCTTAACTGTCTGTTGATGAACTCTTAAGTTGAACTTTAATAAAATCTTAGACCTGATGTTGTGTCTTTTTGATGTATTCAGAAAAACTTTAAAATGGAATGTTGATTCTTTTTAACGTGAGCCTTCACTGTTTTAGCCATGTTCTGTTTTTGAACTGTGCGAACCTTCCTTCTGATTTGTCTCCTCTTGTCTTCCACCTCTCTCCACTTTAGACGAGGGGTTGTGTTTGGTCTCTGGAGTGCCTGTGCGTCAGTGGGCAATATTTTGGGAGCGTGCCTAGCTTCTTCTGTTCTGCAGTATGGTTATGAGGTAGGTATTTTTTTTTCTCAGCTTTTCTGTGTGTGTTAACTAAATAAAACTGTGGCTATTTAAAACCAACTGTAGTTCTGTCTCGGACAAATCTTGTCTTAAAAGTGAACAAACTCATGATAAATTCAAATGCATAAGAAATCATTTATATCTGAAGACTTTTTTTTTTAAAGATTTATTTATTTATTTTAAAGAGTTACACGCAGAGAGAAGGAAGAGACAGAGAGAGAGAGAGAGAGAGAGAGAGAGAGGTCAGTCTTCCATCCGCTGGTTCACTCCCCAATTGGCTGCAACAGCTGGAGCTGTGCCGATCTGAAGCCAGGAGCCAGGAGCTTCTTCAGGGTCTCCCATGTGGTGCAGGGGCCCAAAGACTTGGGCCATCTTCTACTGCTTTCCCAGGCCACAGCAGAGAGCTGGATCAGAAGAGGAGCAGCCAGGACTCCAACTAGTGCCCATATGGGATGCTGGCACTGCAGGCAGCAGCTTTACCTGCTGTGCCACAGCACCAACCCCGCCAAACACTGTTAAGAGAGCCTGAAGACATATAGCAGTTGAGAAAAAATATTGGCAACTCATGTTACAGATAAAGGGTTAATGATATAAAGGGCCCCTGCAAATTGTTAAGAAAGAGACCAACAGCACACACAAAGAAAAGTGAAGAATTTGAGTGCTTCACGGAAAGGCTTGTGAACATATGAAAACATACTCTGCTCCACTCAGTAGCTTATTCACTGACGTCCTCTGTGTGGCCCCAGCTACTAGAGAATACAGCACCGGCCAAGAGAGACAAACATCTCTGTCCTTTCGGAGTGGTAGAGAAATGCAAAGTAAAGCTCCCCCGGAAAGATCCCAAAGTTTGCTGGCATGCTGTGTGTCTGAGGCTGTGGAGGAAGACCCAGAACCCTCAGAGCTCTCTCCCTGTGGTGATGTCTACCAAACGGCCACTGCTCTGGCTGAGCGCGTCCAGCTGCTGGGACTTAGCCACGCAGGGGGCTGTGCTGGGAGCCTGCACAGAGCGATGTGTCTGCAGGGTTTTTCATTTCAGCGTTGTTAGTAACAGCCAAAGACTGAAAACCAATGTCTGCCGATAGCGACCTGGTTAAACCCCAGTACAAAGGAGCACTCTGCAGCTGCAAAATAGAATTAGGACCTTCCTTGGGTACCGAGTAGAGATCTGTGCCCTGGGCGGATCTCGAAGTGTGTTAATGAAGAAAGCAAGGATGCAGACTAGTGTGTATTGAATAACGCCATTTGTGTGAGAAGGAAGAAGGAATTAGTGTTTTTCTTGCATGTTTCTAAGGCAGTCTCTGACAGTAAAAGTTAAATGGCAGCCATGGTTACCTGTTGGGGCACTTGGGTGTGGGGTGGTGAGAGGGAGAGTTTTTGCTGTATGTCTACTGCTTTTTGTTCCTTGAATCATGTGACTCTATTGCTTATTCAAAAGCCTAAATAGTTGTTAGTTTTTTAAAAAGTAGATGCATGTTAAAGTAGCCCGCCAAGGGCGTTGGTCTACTTAGGGTCAAGAAGCCCTCATGGTCACTTTCAGCCCAGCCCTCTTAGCTTTATGCTGGGATTGGTTAGATAAGAATTTGGTTAGATATTTGGTTAGATAGGAATTTCAGTTCACCCTTCATGCTGCTTCCAGATTTGACTTCTGAAAATATCACTTTAATTTTGGCTGCTTATTTGTTTAAAAATTCAGACAGCCTGTTCTAGACTCCATTCTTAAATAAAATCCATCTGTGTAGCTTGAGAATTCAGCTGTGTAGAATGGTGGTTAAGAGTCTTTAATTTTTTTTTAAAGATTTATTTATTTGAAAGGCAGAGCTACAGAGAGAGAGAGAGGTCTTCCATTTGCAGGTTCACTCCTGAGGGCTGCAATGGCTGGAGCTGGGCTGGTCTGAAACCAGGAACTTCATTTGGGTCTCCCATGTGGGTGCAGGAGACCAAGCACTTGGGCCATCTTCCACTGCTTTCCCAGGCACATTAACGGGGGGCTGGATTGGAAGTGGAGCAGCCAAGACTCAAACTGGCATTCGTAATGGATGCTGGCATTGCGGGTGGCAGCTTTATCCACTATGCCACAGTGCTGGCTCTGAGAGTCTGTAATCTTTTATTGGGTTTATTCCTTAGCATCCCCTAAGCCTTCTACCTCAGTCACTCAACAAGCTTTTTGTCTCAATGCCCACTGTGCTCCTTGGCTTGGGTTACACCTGGGAAGATGGGCAATTGCTATGATTTCTTAACTCCTCTCTAAATCATTATCTAGCTATGCCAGCCTCTAGGTGTTCTGAATTCCTATATGAGTGGTCTTCAAAAACTTCTTGGAAAATATGTATCATGAAACATCTGTGCATGGATTTAAAAAATTTTTTTAAAAAAAGATTTACTTATTTTGAAAGCGTTACAAAGAGAGGGAGAGACAGAGACAGAGGGAGATATCTTCCGTCTGCGGTTTTACTCCCCAGATGGCCACAATGGCCAGGGCTGGGCTGGGCCAAAGCCAGGAGCCTCATCCACATCCCCCACGTCAGAACAGGGGCCCAAGTACTTGGCCTATCTTCTGCTGCTTGTCCCAGGCCATTAGCAGGGAGCTGGGTCAGAAGTGGAGCAGCTGGGGCCGCCGCCACGGCTCACTAGGTTAATCCTCCGCCTTGCGGCACCAGCACACCGGGTTCTAGTCCCGGTCGGGGCGCCGGATTCTGTCCCAGTTGCCCCTCTTCCAGGCCAACTCTCTGCTGTGGCCAGGGAGTGCAGTGGAGGATGGCCCAAGTGCTTAGGCCCTGCACCCACATAGGAGACCAGGATAAGTACCTGGCTCCTGCCATCGGATTAGTGTGGTGCGCCAGCCGCGGTGGCCATTGGAGGGCGAAACAACGACAAAGGAGGACCTTTCTCTCTGTCTCTCTCACTATCCACTCTGCCTGTAAAAAAAAAAAAAAAAAAAAAATGGAGCAGCTGGGACATGAACTCTGGTGCCCATATGGGATGCTAACATTGTAGGCAGTGGCTTTACCCATTTTGCCACAACGCCAACCCCCAAAAAGATTTTGCACCAAAATACACTCCTCCTGTAATCCCAGTTTCCACAGATTGGATGAAGTGCCCTGTGTGTGCTTCTCAATGGGGCTGGGCCTGCTCATTTACTCCGCTACACTGTTGCCTTTTGATACCATTCTGTACATTGTTCATAACTTCAGCTGGATATAGTATTTTGCAGGGCAGATAATGTGTCTTTTGTGGGAGGCTGCATGATACAAAGACTGAGATTTAGGGAGCCAGTCCTGATCTCGCAATTGTAATACATGCTACTTTTTTTTAAAAAAAAGGAAAAATATATTTTTAGTTTTGTTTGAAAGGCAGAAAGAGAGACAAAGATCTTCCATTTACTTTGTTCACGCTTCAAATGTGTACAACAGCTGGGGCTGGTCCAGACTGAAGCCAGTGGCTTGTAACTCCATCCAGGTTTGCCCTGTGGGTGCCAGGGACCCAAGTCTTTGAGCCATCATCTGTTATAGGAAACTGGGGTCGAAGAGGAGACAGGGTGCTCCAAGGTGGCATGCGGGCGTCCCAAGCAGCGTCTTGACCTCTGTGCCACAGGCTTGTGCTGGTAGTGCCACTTACCCAGTGGCCTTAATGATCCTCTCCAGCCTGAGAGAGGCTCCAGGAAAAATGAAGTGAGAAATGTTTGCTTCCAGTCTCCTCTCCTTCCTGCTCACCTCTCTGGCACCTCCACACACGCACTTCTAATAAATATGTCCAAGGGGCCGGCGCTGTGGTGGCCTGCAGTGCCGGCATCCCATATGGGCACCAGTTGTTGTCCTGGCTGCTCCACTTCTGACCCAGCTCCCTGCTTATGTGCCTGGGAAAGCAGTGGAGGATGGCCCAAGTCCTTGGGCCCCTGCACCCACGTGGGAGACCCAGAAGAAGCTCCAGGCTCCCGGCTTCAGATCAGCGCAGCTCCGGCCATTGCAGCCATTTGAGAGGTGAACCAGTGATGGAAGACCTCTCTCTCTCTCCCTCTGACTCTGCCTTTCAGATAAATAATAAATCATTCAGAAAGTTAATAGAAAATGGAATTCAATGGTGAATCTTAGAATAAATAAATAAATAAACAAATAAACAAACAAGCCTATGATGACTACTCCCAGCTGTGACTCCCTCTCCTCTGCTCTCCTCCAGTATGCCTTCCTGGTGACGGCGTCTGTGCAGTTTGCTGGTGGGGTGGTCATCTTCTTTGGACTCTTGGTGTCGCCAGAAGAAATCGGTGAGGAGAAACTGTCTCTCTTACTCCCTATGTGCCACTGTTAGGGGTGAAGGGCGATCTGAGGCCGGAAACCCGAATCTCTCTCCTGGGAAAACCGTGGGCTCCTCTCAGTGAACTCAAGGAGCGCTGTTCCTGCTGTGTGTCCTGTCGGTGTCGTAGGCGGCCCCGGTGCAGCTGCGTGTGTCTCTGGGGTGTCTTGTCCTCCTTCTACTGAGACAGGAGACACTTAGCATTTGCAGTTTTTTTAAAAAAGATTTATATATTTGAAAGAGTTAGAGAGAAGGAGAAACAGAGAGATCTTCCTTCTGCTGGTTCATTCCCCAAATGGCCACAGTGGCCAGGGGCTGGGTTGGTCTGAGGTCAGGAGCCAGGAGCTTCCTCTGGGTCTCCCATGTGGGTGCAAGGACCCAAGGTCCTGGGTCATCCTCCACTGCTTTCTCAGGTGCATTAGCAGAGAGCTGAATCAGAAGTGGAGCATCTGGGACTTGAAGTGGTGCCCATATGGGATGCCAGCTCTGTAGATGGCTGCTTAACCACTGTGCCAGCCCCTGCAAGTGTGTTTTTTTTTTTTTTCATTTCAAGTGTACAGATTTCATGTATGTCATATATGTAGATTCAGGAGCATAATGATCCTTTCTACCTTACCCTTCCTCCTGCTGCGGGTGGTTTTTCTAGAACTGAGGCATTTGCTAGGAATTATCACGGATGTATCTCCAATTTCACTTCTTCAGACAGATTTCTTCTCTTCATAAAAATGATTAGTTGATGTTTTTGCCTGTGGTTAAATAAAGAATGTGTACAAGTGAAACTGTAGAAGCAAAGAAGAGTCCAGTTCCTCTGTCTTTGAATGTAGCCAGCCCTCTGTTTTCTGCAGGTAGCACACCACCTGTGGATCCTGCCTCTGCATTTCCACACCTGTGGACCTTGCCTCTGCAGTTAACCAGCTGCAGCTGGAAAAGCCTAGACAATAAATCAGAGTAGTGCTGAACATATCAGACTTACTATTCCCGAACAAGACAGTGTAGCAACTTCGCACAGAATCGGTGAGGTATTAGGTTTTTTTTTTTTTTTTTTTTTTTTTGGACAGGCAGAGTGGACAGTGAGAGAGACAGAGAGAAAGGTCTTCCTTTGCTATTGGTTCACCCTCCAATGGCCGCTGCGGCCGGCGCACCGTGCTGATCCGAAGGCAGGAGCCAGGTACTTATCCTGGTCTCCCATGGGGTGCAGGGCCCAAGCACCTGGACCATCCTCCACTGCACTCCCTGGCCACAGCAGAGAGCTGGCCTGGAAGAGGGGCAACCGGGACAGAATCCGGCGCCCCGACCGGGACTAGAACCCCGTGTGCTGGCGCCGCAAGGCAGAGGATTAGCCTAGTGAGCCGCGGCGCCGGCCTCGAGGTATTAAGTTTTGTACATGACCTGGAGATGACTTATAGATGCCCAAGTTAGATGCCCGTACTGCAGCATTTTACAGAAGGGACTTGAGCACCATGAACTTTGGTATCCCGTGGGCATCGAGGGGCAGCTGTGCTGTTACGCAGGCTGTGTGACCTTGACTGACCCTAGCTGGACCTGACTCCTGAGCCGCGGTTGCCTCCCCTGTAAAACGGAACCGTCCTGGTGGGTGGGAGCCCTTGCACAGGGCCAGGCAGTGGAGTGTTTGCGCTAGTGGTTGCTGTCTCTTGTTCTAGGTCTCCCAGGGATTGAGGCAGAAAAGAGTTTTGAAGAAGACTCACATAGGCCATTAATTAACGGTGCTGAGAATGAAGACGAATACGATCCTAATTACTCAATCCAAGAAGACGCTGCTGTCCCCCACGTCAGGGCGATAAGCTTTTGTCAGGCGTGTCGCCTTCCTGGGGTGATACCGGTAAGGCTTGGTCACATCTGCTTACTGCACCAGCGAGAGGCCTCAGCCCGGTGTTCCTCGGCCTGGGATAGGCTCCTTCGAGCACTCAGCCTCTCTGATACTTTGCTTTAGGAGTATTTGCTCAGAGGAGAGTGGGTCCTGTCTCCCAGCGGATCTGTCTGATGCGGAGCTGCAGACTGTTCATGAAGAGCCGGAGAAGGAATGTTTTTGGCTCCGGGAGAGCTGTGCAGACTTTCACGCAGTCTTCAGAGCACAGGAAGCCACAGACGATGCGTGACGGATGGCCTTGGCTGGTTTTGACCCATGAGCCCTGCTTTGGTCTAGCATGGGCTAGGAAGGCAAAACCAACTTTTTTTTTTTTTTTTTTTTTTTTAAATTTAAGAGAGGGAGATAGAGACATACAGAGAAAACCCGATCTTATCTACTGGTTCACTTCTGGGCTAGGCCAAGCTAGGCCAGACTGAAGCTAGTAGCCAGGAACTGAATCCCACGTGAGTTTCAGAAACCCAGTAACTGGGGCTGTCACCTGCTGCCTTCTAGGCTGTGCCTTAGCAGGAGGCTGGAATTGGGACAGAGCTGGGTCTTGAATGCAGGCAGGCCCGTGAGGATGTCCAGGCAGTGTGTTAACCGCTGTGCCAAATGCCCGCCCCTCGTGTTTTTAAGCATATGTATTTTTTGGCCTTTTGTGTTATTACAGAACTGAATAAGGACCAAGAACGGGTTTGAATGGTTCATTAAATGTCTTAATAGCCGACATTCTGGTTGTTCCAGGAAAAACTTTTTTTTCCCCACTCTTAAAAGGGGTCTAGAACAGAACACTGCTGTGTCCTTGGTCGTGCGTGCCAGACTCCACCTTTGCAGCCCGAAAGACTTTCTAACGTCTGAACTGAGTCCTGTGTCCTGCAGCTTTGTGGTCTCTGTTTCGGGCGCTCAGCACTGCAGTGGCAGTGGAGGCCTAGGCTGCTCCCAGCTTGCCCACTGACTTTCTGTGCGACCCGGGTAGGGCACCCGGCCCATCTGTGCTGTTTCCTGTGGGACGGAGGTGACCCCAGCCCCCATGGGGTTCACAAGGCTGGGTTATGGTGTTGAGAACAAGCACCTGTCTTGTTTTTTCACTTTTTAGTGGTGCACTTTGGATTAAAAGCCTGCAGGCCACCTTATTTCTCACTTACCAGTGCCCTCCCTCCTGTGTCCCCAAGCTAAGAGAACTAACATTTGAACAGATACTTGAGTGTGAATTACAATGTATGCGCTTCTAAAAATTATTGGAAAAATGAAAAATTTTGAAATTTTTTTGCACCAAAGTCAACATCTTTTCATTCCGCTTCCCGTGAAGTTTTTGAAGTGCCTTGTAAGTGCACTTCCCACAGTTCTTACGTTCGGTGCTGTAATGGAGGGGAATGCAGCTCCCGAAGGCCTCTCCTTGTGCGAGGATCGTCAGTGCTGGCAGTGTGTCCTTTCTGAGAGGGCGCAGGTTTGTTGTGACTAGCTGTGGAACTCTTGCTGTCCCTTTGTACTTCATGAGCAGCTGCTCTCCGCCAAGGCACTGGTGTAAAGGAAATCTACTCCGCTCCATCCCTTTGTCTTTGCAGCAGCCTGTCTGGAAAATGCACTCACCATTGGGATTTGACTCTCTGGGGGGTGGAAGCAGTTTTAGAACAAGTGATACCTAGGGAATAAGTGGCAGCTCCGGGGAAAAGAATGTACTAGCCAGACAGCCTTTGAAGTCAGCCCCTCGTCCCTCCTCCTCTTCCCTTTGATGCTAAATGTCAGGACTTCCTGGTCATAACGGGTTGAATATAGGAGTCTTCGCCTCCCAACCATCCGCAGGCAGCTGCAGCTTTTCCCTCCCTCAAAGGAGAGCCAGCCGCAGGTCGAAGACCGCGTGTTCCTTTACGTTCGGCTCATCAGAGATGTTTGTTTTCTTCTTTTCCGCTGGGGGTGGGACTGGATTGGGCTTTGGGTTAACTCCAGTGTGAAAGCAGTTTTAACATTGAGGCTTTTTTTAGACCCTGAAACTATGGTTGAGTCACCTTGTTCTCCAACTTTCTCAGTGTTAATTTGTAGGAAGTAGGATAACCTTTAACCTCTGCAGTAAGCACTGTATGTTTGCCTATGGTTAGCGCCAGTTAGTTGCATGGGTATCATTTATCTTCTGGTCAAGAAATATGAGCCTTTAGGTCCCAAACACTGGTTTGCTTCTGCTGGGAGGATAGACTAGGGGTGGTTATGAAACAGTCGTGGGCAGGTGTTAGTTCAAAGCCTGCTGCACCTGAGAAGCCACTGGGGATAAAGGAAGAGGGGGAGTAGGTGCCGTGGGCAAATGGGGATTTGTAAAGGTGTTTACTGGGGAGCCAGGGGCCGCTCATCCCCAGCTCCTGTACCGAAGTTTGTTAAAAGCTGAGGCCGTGCTGTGCTCACTGACGATCGAGTGCTTTCCTTCTAGTATTCCCTGGCCTACGCCTGCCTCAAGTTAGTGAATTACTCCTTCTTCTTCTGGTTGCCCTTTTATCTGAGTAACAACTTTGGCTGGAAGGAGGCTGAAGCTGACCAGCTGTCCATTTGGTACGACGTTGGAGGAATCATAGGTATGCGTCTCTTTCTGTAGGAGAGTTAGTTCACTAGAAGTCTTTCACCAGGTTGTGAAGCCTGGCTTCAGTTAACAACCATTTTCCCTAAAGTGCCCTACCAGTAAACAGCCAAACTCTGAAAAAAAAAAAAAAAAAGAAAAAAAAAAAATGAAAAGAGGTCCCTGGGAAGGAAGACGCAGCCAGGGCAGCGCTGCGGCGGCAGGGGTCTTCTCGGTCCTTTGTCTCAGGACACACACGGAACCTCCCCTGGACGCTCACTGCCTCTCTAAAGCTGACTGTGTCAGAGGTGGGAGTTACGAGGCCTGTGTGTTCCTGTGTCTGCCTCCTGCCTCCCCGTCTCCCCAGCCAAATAAGGAAAAGAACACCCAGGGTGTCGCTAGCAGTAACAGCTGGGGTTAATTTTTGTGTTATGCAACTGCTTCCTTATAAACAACAGATTTTAATAGTGACTTTGTGCTATGAGCAAGGCGCTAAGAAACTTTAAAGACAGACGGGCACACACAGTGCCTGCTGCCCTTCTGATGACACGTGGGATTGTGGTGAGCGCATCAAAGCTCCTGACGCATTCCTTGGTGATGTCCGGTTGCTGTGTCTGTGCGCTTGGCTGCCCTGGTTCTTAGACCCAGAGTCTAGAGCGCGATGGCCTCCTTCGGACCTGTCCTTGCCTCTGTGTCCCCTGAGATTGGAACTTCGTAGGTGTCTGATGGAGATGGGCCACATGTCCCCCAGCCCTAGAGCTCAGAGTGGCCCTGTGTCCAGTGTGACAGTCACATCACCTCTCTTATTTTTAAATATGTATTTATTTATTTGAAAGGCAGAGTGACAGAGAGAAGAAACACACATACATACCTGTCTGCTGGTTCACTCCTCAAATGGCTGCAACTCCCAGGTTGGGCCAGGCCAAAGCCAGGAGCCCAGCACTCCGTCAGGCCTCCCACGTGGGTGGAAGGGGCCCCACTACGTGAGCCGTCCTCTGCTGCCTCCCCAGAGGCATTAGAGGGAGCTGGACGGGAAGCGGGGCAGCTGGGACTGGAAGGAGCCTTCCGATACGGGATGCCAGCGTCACAGGCAGCTGCTTGCTGGTGCCACAACGCAGGCCCCACATCACCTGTTTTCACATTCTGGCTTGCCTGTCAGTTCTTACCGAACCATAACTGCTGATTTATTCTCAGTGAACATCTATCGGCCACTGTTAGCAGCCTGTGAGGCACAGTCCTTACTCATCATTTAAGTTCAAAAGCAGAAACATCGGGAAAAGCATTCACAACTTATTTTTGTAGGGGAAACAGGGATAATAGATGGTTTTGATTTTTCCTTGTTTCTTATTTTGATGTCTGATTAGTGGTGTTCTGTCCCTGTCATCCATCATGGCGATTTAACAGTTCATCAGGGGCGACACTTTGGCACAGTGTGTTAAGCCATGGCCTGCAGTGCCAACATCCCATATGGGTTCAAGCCCCGGATGCTCCAGTTCTGATCCAGCTCCCTGCTAATGCCCTGGGAAAAGCAGCAGAGGATGGCCCAAGTGCCTGGGCCTCTGCGCCCATGTGAAAAGCCTGGAAGAAACTCCTGGCTCCTGGCTTCAGCCTGGCTCAGCCTTGGCTATTGCAGCCATTTGGGGAGTGAGCCAGTGGATGGAAGATCTCTCTCTCTTTCTCTCCTCTCTCTGTAACTCTGCCTTTCAAGTAAATAATTAAATCTGTAAACAAACAAAACAAAACAGTTCATCTTTGTAAAATAAATGATGGTAGAAGCGTCCGGAGAGTCGGCCATTTTTGGCTAGACCTAAGGTAGAAGGGAGGGTGGGGCCCTGCTCAGGTGACCGGGCCGAGTTTGAAAGGCGGTGACGCTGATGGTGCCATGATGCTTGTGCTCCAAGGTGGGACTCTGCAAGGCTTCGTCTCTGACATGCTGCAGAAGAGAGCCCCCGTGTTAGCCCTGAGCCTGCTTCTGGCCATCGGGTCCCTCGTGGGGTACAGTCGTGAGTATGCCTCCGCAAGCACTGTGTTCCTGAGCTCCCGGGAGCAAGCATTCGTCTGGAGTCAGCAGGCGGGGGAGCCCCGAGTGCAGCTTCAGGCTGCTGTGCCACCCTGGTGCTGGCCTGGGAACGCCTGGGAAAGCCGGCGTCACATGGTTTTATTTGTGTGGGGAGGCAGGAAATTGGCATCTCTCGTGCTTTGCTGGCTTGTTTAAAAGCTTGCTTGGGAGTGTACGTGCTTTGTTTGAGGGGTGGCCCCGAGGGACAGCATTGGAGCCAATAAAACAATAAACGGGGAGGCGAGTTCAGGAGCGGGAAGATGCTCATTAGCTTGGTGTGTGTCCCTTAAGATGCGGCGGCCACGGGGCGGGGGTTCTGCAGCTTGCAGCTGTCTTCATTAGCCTGAGCCTGAGCGCCAGCGAGAGGCAGACTGCTGGTGGGAGCTGGAAGGCCTGCGTCTGCTTGCAGTCCCTGGAGCGGCGTGTGCCGTCGCGGAGACTCGGCTCCTCGTGTTTGGCGGGGACCTGTGAAGCCATCTGCACTCACCTCGTCTGTCTGTTTCCTCACAGGTTCTCCAAACAATAAGTCCGTCAACGCGCTTCTCATGACCGTCACAGGTGCGGCCGGGGCTCTGCTGCTCCTGCTCTCTCTGGAAATTCAAGGGAAAAGGGGACTTTCCCCCTCGGTTTGAGGAGTGCTAGGACCTTAGTGACAGAGAGCCCCCACGGTGAGGGCGAGGTGCCTCTTTTTCCAGACCGTCACCCCGTCTGCGACCACCCCGGTCCTGCGGCGGCAGGAGCGTCCTCGTTGTCAGATTTGTAAACTTTCCCGTGGCTGCCCCAGCTGCTGGTGTAGCTTAGGGATGTGAGTTAGGAGGGTACCGCCTGAGGAACCCATTTACCTGCCCTTTTTTTTTTTTTTAAGTTTTTTTTTTTTTTTATTTGAGAGGTAGAGTTATAGACAGAGAGAGGGAGAGACAGAGAGAAAGGTCTTCCATCCTCTGGTTCACTCACTCCCCAGATGGCCGCAATGGCCAGAGCTGGGCCGATCTGAACAGGAGCTTCTTCCAGTTCTTACGGGTCTCCCACGTGAGTACAGGGGCCCAATGCCATCTTCCACTACTTTGCCAACCCAGAGCAGAGAGCCGGATCGCAAGAGGAGCAGCTGGGCCCCGGACCGGTGCCCATATGGGGTGCTGGCGCCGCAGGCGGAGGCTTGGACTGCGACGCCACGCGTGGGCCCCTTCCCCGCTTTCAGAATGCCTGGTGTGGCTGCTTTCCCTCCGCGCCGGCGCTGCTCTGCGTTTCCTCACTTGAGCGCTTGGGCAGCAGGTCGCAGGATTACTTTTCAAAAGATGTATTTTTAAGTTTTCTTGCATTTTACTTTTTTTTTTGAGATTTATTTATTTGAAAGACAGAGTGACAGAACGAGGGAAAGACAAAGAACAAGGCCTTCCATCTGCTGGTCCACTGCCTAAGTGCTCACAATGTCTGGGGCTGGACCGGGCCAAAGCCAGGAGCCTGCACTGTGTCTGGTCTCCCGTGTGGGTGGCACAGACCCCCAAGTGCTTGACTCACCGTCCCCTGCCTTCCTGTGCGCATTAGCAGGAGTTTGGGTTGGAAGCAGAGCAGCCCGACCTTGGACTTGGCCCGCCCTGCGTTGTGCAGGCCGTGAGACAACAGCTGCCCTGAATCACTGAGTGTCGAGCTTTAGCTCACGCTCTGGAGAGCGAGTCACCCGTGCTGCCTGAGGCCCTGGAGTGATGGCGACAGTGTGCCAGGGTGCTGGGGGCCAGCCCATGCTGAGAGCAATGGCGTAGCACTGTGGCCCTGAGCTGTACAGCTCTGTCCTCTCTCTCTGTTTCAGTGTGGTCGGGTGCTTGTCTAGTGCAGCCCCACTGTGGCAGAATTTGATGAGCTAGTGCAGTTATTATTAATGAATGCAAACAGCACATGATGAAAAAGGCTGTGTGTTTAAGCTTTAGATCTCTGGGTTTGATGAAGTGTGCTGAGCGTCACATAAGTAAGGGAGGGGCTTCAGAGCAGTGGGCGCTGCTGGACTGAGATGAAGCACCTGGAGTTTCTCTCCCCTCCCTCCCCGTTTCTCTCCAGCGCATTAATTAAAATATTGGGGTGCTATTTTCACTTGCCCAGCAGAGTGTCATGTTAATTAGAGTCTGTTCTCTTCTGACTCCAGGGTTTTTTATTGGCGGCCCCTCTAACATGATCAGCTCGGCCATTTCGGCGGATCTGGGCCGCCAGGAGCTGATCCAAGGCAGCAGCGAGGCCTTGGCGACCGTCACGGGGATTGTCGACGGCACTGGGAGCGTGGGAGCGGCCGTGGGCCAGGTGAGACGCCGGGGAGGGGCCGGGCTTTGAGCACTGTCTTCCTTCAAAGGTCGAAGGATCCACGCGTGCCTGCTCAGCCGCAGTAGGTGGCACTCTGACGCTGTGGAATGTGTTCTGAGAGCCGGCTGGGTTTCGTCTCCTCTGAGGCTCAGCTGCTGTGACCTAATATGGAAGGGCCCTCTACCTTTCTTAGTTCCGTCTTTGCACTTAGGATTCTTCCTGTTTGCAAACGAGCCAAGACCTCGTACGACACATCCTTGTGTGGTGCCCGGCTGAACGTGGCCCTCCGAGGGCGGTGTGAGACACCTTATGCCCACCTGCGTGCACACCCACCTTCTCTGCTCGGCCAGACACATGTGTGTACACACGCCTTTGACGTGTGTCGCCCCCAGACGTGGCCGCGGGCTCCGCAGCTGCCCAGAGTCACTGTCTCGTCTTCCTGCGTGTCCAGAAATCCGTTTCAGGTGGCGTTCATGTGAGTCTGGCATCATAGAGCATCCGGGGTACTCGCTAAACTATGGCGCCCCGAGCTTCTTAGCGGCGCTTGCTGAGTGGAGCCTGGAAGCCTCTGTCCGCGGCGGGCCTTTCTGGTGTCTTCTTCCGCACTCCAGCTTGACCTTTGAGATCCTCTGACCCAGGGCTGGTCTGGTCTGTGTACTCGGAACTTTTCACATTGACCTTTGTCGCTTAAACTCGAACCTCTCTCAGCCGGCGTCTCTCCTGGGGCGGTCGTGAGTCACGCTTCTCCTGGGAGGTGCTGCTCAGGTCGTGGGGCTTTGCAGAACTGTGGATCTGAGCCGCACCTGCGTGGCCGAGACGGCTGAGCGTCTGGCGGTAGAAGTTTGCTGGGAAGGAGAATTCAGGCAGGACCACAGGAATGCCCCTTGGGTGGGCAGGTGGGGGGCGCATGGGGTGGCGTCTGGAAGGCGTTGGTAAGTTCACTGGCACAGAGGTCAGGAGAAGGGGCTCCAAGTTCTGCCATCAGGGAGGCCGGTGCCCTTGAAGGCTGCTGTTTGACTTGCTCCGTGTGGGCGGGCTGCTGAGGCTAATGAGAGGGTAAAGTGAACGGTCCTGGTGCCTGTCACCACCTTGTCACACGGTGTGTACTTCCTTGTTGATGCCCGTCGTTGCCGTGGTGATGTCAGCTGTGTGAGAACGGCGTTTTGTGTTCTGTTGCCCTAGCGCCTACAGCGGCACCTGGCACATTTGTTCAATGATAGTAGAATGAGTGATTGCTGTGCCTGATATGCTTGGCATATTTGGTTATATGACTAAAACGTAAAAATTCAAAAAATACTTCAATACTTTTTAAATTTGATTTTATTTATTTTTGACAGGCAGAGTTAGAGAGAGAGACAGAGAAAGGTCTTCCTTTTCCATTGGTTCACCCCTAAATGGCTGCCACGGGCCTCGCACTGCGCTGATCCGATGGCAGGAGCCAGGTGCTTCTCCTGGTCTCCCATGGGGTGCAGGGCCCAAACACCTGGGCCATCCTCCGCTGCACTCCCTGGCCACAGCAGAGAGCTGGCCTGGAAGAGGGGCAACCGGGACAGAACCCGGTGTGCCGGCGCCGCAGGTGGAGGATTAGCCTATGGAGCCGCGGCGCCGGCCTTAAATACTTAAAGTAGGACAATTTCATACTTGATCTGCTCTCGAGGGGAACTGAAAAAATTCTCTTGGTCACTGGATCAGATGTCTTCATACCTGGGGAAAGGGTGCTTGTATTGAGCATCCCTCCTCCCTCCCTCCCTCCTCCCTCCCTCCTTCCCTCCTTCCTCCTCCCTCCCTCCTCCCTCCCTTCCCTCCTACCTCCCTCCCTCCTTCCCTCCTACCTCCCTCCCTCCTTCCTCCCTCCCTCCCTCCTCCCTCCCTCCCTTCCCTCCTTCCTCCTCCCTCCCTCCTCCCTCCCTTCCCTCCTACCTCCCTCCCTCCTTCCCTCCTACCTCCCTCCCTCCTTCCTCCCTCCCTCCTACCTCCTCCCTCCTTCCTCCCTCCCTCCTACCTCCCTCCCTCCTTCCTCCCTTTCTCCCTCCCTCCCTCCTACCTCCCTCCCTCCTTCCTCCCTCCCTCCCTCCTACCTCCCTCCCTTCCTTCCTCCCTCCTCCCTCCCTCCTCCCTCCTCCCTCCCTCCTTCCTCCCTTTCTCCCTCCCTCCCTCCTCCTCCCTCCCTCCTGCCTTCCCTCCTACCTTCCTCCCTTTCTCCCTCCCTCCCTCCTCCTCCCTCCCTCCTGCCTTCCCTCCTACCTCCCTCCCTCCTTCCTCCCTCCCTCCTTCCTCCCTCCCTCCTTCCTCCCTCCCTCCTTCCCTCCTTCCTCCCTCCCTCCTTCCTCCCTCCCTCCTGCCTCCCTCCCTCCTGCCTTCCCTCCTACCTCCCTCCCTCCTTCCTTCCTCCTTCTCCCTCCTCCCTCCCTTCCCTCCTCCCTCCCTCCCTCCTTCCTCCCTCCCTCCTTCCTCCTCCCTCCCTCCTTCCTTCCTCCCTTTCTCCCTCCCTCCTCCTCCTCCTCCTCCTCCTCCTCCTCCCTCCCTCCTCCCTCCCTTCCCTCCTACCTCCCTCCCTCCTTCCTTCCTCCTCCTCCCTCCTCCCTCCTTCCCTCCTTCCCTCCCTCCCTCCTTGCTCCTACCTCCCTCCCTCCCTTCCTTCCTTCCTGATTTACTTATTTATTTGAAAGGCAGAGTTACAGGGAGGCAGAGGCAGAGAGAGAGAGAGAGACAGAGAGGTCTTCCATCTGTTGGTTCACTCCCCAGATGGCTGCAGTGGCCAAAGCTGGCCTGATCCGAAGCCAAGAGCCAGGAGCTTCTTCCAGGTCTCCCACATGGGTGCAGGGGACCAAGCACTTGGGCCATCTTCCACTGCTTTCCCAGGCCACAGCAGAGAGCTGGATTGGAAGTGGAGTGGCTGGGACTCAAACCGGTGCCCATATGGGATGCTGGCCCTGCAGGCGGTGGCTTTACCTGCTTTGCCACAGCACTGGCCTTTGAGCATCCTTTTCTTACATAAACCATGTATTTTAACTTATCCTTCCCTTCTGGTATTTTCTTTATTAATTAACTGGACAAATTATATTTGGCATTTTAGGGAATTTAGTTTTATTTAAAATGTCTCACCTGCCAATATTCAGATCCCTGTGAACTTGGCTCAGCATTAGACTGACCTTCGTGGTTGGGTAGCATATCGAGAGTAAATCATTTTCAGCTTTCCTCATTCCTCTTCCATGTTGTGTTTGGAAGATTTCACCTTGCCCTGGGGAGGAAATCCCAAACCCCGTGACTTCAGATCAAAGCTCTTAACAGCTTTGTCCTCAGCCGCTCCCCTAACTCAGTACCAACTGTGTTCCCCTCCTCCACTTACTTCTCAGGAGAGAAGTCGTGTTCCTTCCTGTGGTTGCCGCAGCGGCTGGTGTACACAGCCGGTACAGCGCTTGCCACGCGTGTCACCTCTGCGGCCTTCCCCGTCTGTCCTTGGTTCCAGCCTGTGTTCCCTGAGAACGAGGTCTCTGCTTCCTTCATCCTGTGCTCAGTGATGGGTGTGTTTTTTATTTAACTCCTGCCAGTGGCTCAGTGAGATTAAATGGCAGTATCTACCCAGGAAAAATGAGGACAAATATTCACATTTAAACCTGAACATGAATATTCATAGATGTATTTTTTAAAAAGATTTATTTATTTGAAAGGCAGAGACACATGGAGAGAAGGAGAGAGATCTTCCATCTGCTGGTTCACTCCCCAAATGGCTGCAACAGCTGGGCCTGGGCCATGATGAAGCCAGGAGCCAGGAGCTGCATCTGGGTCTCCTACATGGGTGCAGGGGCCCAAGTACTTGGGCCAACTCCTGCTGCTTTCCCATAGGGGATTCCGGCAGAGGCTTAACCTTCTGTGCCACAGCACCAGCCCCTATAGATGCATTTTTAAAAATGTTTTATTTACTTGAAAGGCAGAGTGATATATGTAGAGAGGAAGAGATCTTCCATCCCACTGGCTGATTTTCCGAAGGTCCGTAACAGCTGGGGCTGGGCCAGGTCGCAGCCTGGAGCCTGGGCATCCATCTGAGAGTCCTGTATGGACGGAAGGAACCCAAGTGTCTGGGCCAACTTCCACTGCTCTCCCAAGGCCACATGAGCGGGGAGCTGGAAGTGGAACAGCGGGGACTCCAGCCGATGCTTTGATATGGGATGCTGGCATGGCAGGCAGCGGCTTAACCAGCTGGGCCACAAATGCTGTCCACGGTGCGTTTTTCAAAACAGCTAAAAAATAGGCACCACCGACATCCATCAACGAATGGCTGGGTAAATGTTGTATAGCCGTACAGTGGACTGTTACTGAACAATTAAGAAGGAATGAAGCATCGATGGATGCTACGTCATGGATGAAGCTCAAAGCACGCAGAATGAAAGAAGCCGGTCACAGCAGAGCAGATTGTTTGTGATCTCATTCTTAGGAGATGTGTGGACGAGGCAAACCTGTGAGGAAGGAAACTGGGTTCGTAGCTGCCTAGGGCTCGGTGGAGCTAACGGCTGCAGAGTTTCTTCTGGGGGTGATGCTGATGTGAGATTAGCTTACGGGAGTGTCTGCGCAGCCTTCAAGGTGCACACTTGCAATGGGTGGATTTTATTTTATGCATGTTATTACCAATAAAGCCGCTTAAGGAAACACTGAGTGGCAGGCAGAGTTGGGAGGGCCACTGGGCTTCTGTTAACAGGAGATGAGACCTCTGGTTTTTGTTTTGCGTGATGCAATCTAAATTAAGTCGCTCGATTGTTCTTTATTTTTTCCAGCTTTTGAATTTCAGTAGTAAAGTGATCAAGAACTTGGGTTATCCTTTCATATCTAAGGCCAATTGATTCTATTGACAAGGGTGCCAAGACCATTCCCTGGGGGAAAGTCTGTTCAACAGACAGGTCTGGGAGACTGTGTATCCGTATACAAAGCTGGAACCTTACCTTCTGTCACACAGCATTGACTCACAGTAGGCCCGAGGCCTAACTTTAAGAGCTAAAACTGGCCGGTGCCGCGGCTCACTGGGCTAATCCTCCGCCTTGTGGTGCCGGCACACCAGGTTCTAGTCCCGGTCGGGGCGCCAGATTCTGTCCCGGTTGCCCCTTTTCCAGGCCAGCTCTCTGCTGTGGCCAGGGAGTGCAGTGGAGGATGGCCCAAGTGCTTGGGCCCTGCACCCCATGGGAGACCAGGATAGGTACCTGGCTCCTGCCATTGGATCAGCGCGGTGTGCTGGCCGCGGTGCGCCGGCCACAGTGCACCGGCCGCGACGGCCATTGGAGCGTGAACCAACGGCAAAAGGAGGACCTTTCTCTCTGTCTGTCTCTCTCACTGTCCATTCTGCCTGTCAAAAAAAAAAAAAAAAAAAAAAAAAAAAAAAGAGCTAAAACTATGAACCTCAGAAGAAAGCGTAGGAACATGCTTCCACGACACTTGCACACAGATGGCCAGCAGACACCTGAGAAGATTCTCAGTGCTGGCAGTCATTAGGAAAATGAAAACCCAGAACACTGGAGGTAGGACTTCACTCCTTCTGGGATGGCTGGAGTGCAACGACAGAAACAAAGAGGGGGTGACGAGTACGCTGAGGGTGTGAGGACCGGGAGCCTGCGTTGCTGGTGGCACTGGAAGATCGGTGTTTCCTCCAAAAAGGCTACCCCGCCATGTCCCCGGCAGCGCCTCGCCAGGTGCATCCCCACCTCCAGCAGATCCGAATGCTCGTGTCATTGCGGCGTTGTCAGCAGACGGGTGGACACAGCCTGTGGCGTGCGACTCTGTGCCGTGACGCGCATCACAGTTGTGATCCGCGCTGTGACGTGGGTGGCTGGATGCACTGTGACGTCACTGTCAAGGGAAGCAAGCCAGTCACAGCAGGACAAACACTGTGTGAGTCCACCTACATGAACTGTCTAGAATGGGTGGATTAGTAGAGACAGAAAGCATGTTGGAGGTTGCCAGGGGCTAGGGAGAGGGGTGGGAGGGGGGGCCTGCTTGGCAGCTACAGCGTTTCTATTTGGGGGATGAAGTGTTTTGGAAATGGAGAGTGGAGATGAGTGTGCAGCATTGTGAGTGCCGTTGACGCGACTGACTTGAACTCTTTACAATGGCAGCTTTTATATATATTGGCATATTTTTCCGTAATGACAGAAAATGGGCTAAATGCTGTTAGGTCCTTTTCAGTAACTGAAAGTAAAGTGAGAGGATGTGCTGTAGGATTTCTAGCGCAGTAGCCCTGTGTGCAGGAGCAGGATGGCGGGGCGAGTGGCACACTTAGGAGACATGCCAGCTTAGAGGGCATCAGTACCCTAACTGTGCCTTTCCCTGGAGGAAGGATGCGTGAGGATGGCCTGGGAACATCCGTGTCTGTAAATATAAAAATGAATAAAACTAGGCCTTCTGACCTTGGAGCTTCTGTCTGCATGCACTTTTGTATTTGGACTCTGCAGCTTATAAAACGAGGCCGTTGACGGGGTTTAAATGGGAGCAGCCACGGGGCAGAGCTTTGACCTGCGAGACGCTGTGCAGGCCCAGCTCGGTTCTGAAGCAGCCACGTTCAGTCTGCCTGGTAGCTGCGTCATTCCGAGATTTATAGAGCATTCCACTGTAACGCCTTTTTCTCCCTTTTAGTATTTAGTGTCTTTGATCCAGGACAACCTGGGATGGATGTGGGTTTTCTACTTTTTCATTCTTATGGTAAGTTTGTGCTTTTCATTTTTTCAAACTAGTCCTTTTTCTTACTGATTTAGTTGAGTGCATTTACTTAAGTCACTTCTTAAAATGAGCAGAATTGCCGATTGCTTTTAGAAGCCTTTTGTGAGAAGACAGACTTCATTAGTGGACAAGCCGCGCTGCTTTCTCAGGGAGGTGAAGGGCCCCCCGTTTGCCCTTGGCCTGTTCTGATGCACGTTGCTGTTCATAATGCCAGAGAAGCCGCAGCTTGCCTAGAGGGCTGCCAGCCGCTGCTTGTGCTCTTCAGGTGCTGTCATACTGGGGATTCCTAAGGAAGTTACCGCGGAGGCCCACCAACGTGCAGTTCATAAAAGAAGCACCGCAGGGGCGTGTGGGTAAAGCCCCGGCCTGCCGCGCCGGCATCCCATGTGGGCGCTGGTTCTAGCCCCAGCTGCTCCACTTCCAGCCCAGCTCCCTGCTGTGGCCTGGGAAAGCAGTAGAAGATGGCCCAAGTGCTTGGGCCCCTGCACCCACGTGGGAGACCCAGAGGAAGCTCCTGGCTCCTGGCTTCGGACTGGCGCAGCTCCAGCCGTTTCGGCCATCTGGGGAGTGAACTAGCGGATGGAAGATTCTCTCTGTCTCTCCCTCTCTCTGTAATTCTGCCTTTCAAAGAAATCTTTTATTCAAAGAAATCTTTTATTTATTTATTTACTTTTAAATGTGCTGAGTCCAATTCCCAAAGTAACATTTTTTAGACATATTTGTAATGCACTGTGATTTTTTTTTTTTTTTTTTTTTTTTTTTTTTTTTGACAGGCAGAGTGGACAGTGAGAGAGAGAGACAGATCTTCCTTTGCCGCTGGTTCACCCTCCAATGGCCGCCGCTGCAGCCAGCGCACCGCGCTGATCCTGGCAGGAGCCAGGAGCCAGGTGCTTTTCCTGGTCTCCCATGGGGTGCAGGGCCCAAGCACCTGGGCCATCCTCCACTGCACTCCCTGGCCATAGCAGAGAGCTGGCCTGGAAGAGGGGCAACCGGGACAGAATCCGGCGCCCCAACCGGGACTAGAACCCGGTGTGCCGGCGCCGCCAGGTGGAGGATTAGCCTATTGAGCCACGGCGCCGGCTATTGATTTTTTTTTTAAGATTTATTTATTTTATTTGAAAGAGTTACACAGAGAGAGGAGAGGCAGAGAGAGAGAGAGAGAGAGAGAGAGAGAGAGGTCTTCCATCTGGTCACTCTCCAGTTGACTGCAATGGCCGGAGCTGCGCCCATCCGAAGCCAGGAGCCAGAAGCTTCTTTCGGGTCTCCCATGCAGGTGCAGGGGCCCAAGCACTTGGGCATCTTCCACTGCTTTCCCAGGCCACAGCTGAGAGCTGGATTGGAAGTGGAGCAGCCGGGTCTTGAGCCGGCGCCCATATGGGATGCCAGCACTTCAGGCCAGGGTGTTAACCCACTGTGCCACAGCACTAGCCCCTCAAATAAGTCTTTTAAAAAGAAGACATTGCTGGGGCCAGCACTGTGGTGTAGTGGTAAAGCCACTGTCTGCAGTGCCGGCATCCCACGTGGGCGCTGGTTTGAGACCCGGCTGCTCCACTTCCCATCCAGCTCTCTGCTGTGGCCTGGGAAGGCAGTAGAAGACGGCCTGGGTACTTGGGCCCCTCTGCCCGGGTGGGAGACCTAGAGGAAGCTCCCGGCTTCGGATTGGCCCAGCTCTGGCTGTTGTGGCCATTCGGGGAGTGAACTGGCGGATGGAAGATACTTCCACCCCCTTTCTCTCTGTCTCTCTCTAACTCTGCCTTTCAAATGAATGAATAAATCTTAAATTGTTTTAAAGACGCACTGCTGTGCTGGACCCTGCAGCGTGTAGCCCCTCAAGGGTGGTATATTCCTGAGGAAATGCCCGTTCCACCTTAGATGTTCTCGGCTGGGGTTGTGTGCTTCCCGGGACGTAGTCAGCACAGAACCAGGGCCTTGTGTTTTGAAAGAGTTGCTTTAAAATGTTTTATCCTTGTCACCTTATTGGTGGGTGGTGGTCAAGGCAGGTGTCCTGGAGGGAGTCTGGTGAGGCCTGCTCCCCAGGGCTGCGTGCAGTGTGCTGGCCACAGCCTCTGCGTTGGAGGCAGCCCCGATCGCTGCACGTCCGGCCGGTTGTCCAGGGAGCCCTGGGATGGTCAGCTCCAGGCACGCTCTGGGCCTCTCTGCTACGTGCCTTCTGACTTCTAAAGTCGGGCCGTGTCACTGTTCATGTTGGACACCCGTGCAGAGAAGAGGGGAATATCTTCGAGTGGTTTGCTGGTGTGATGGCAGTACTAATTCCAGTAGAAGACTGGATCTGTTGTAAAAAACACTGTTTTCAATCTGACCTTTAGGATCAGTTTCCTGTGAACCTGTGTCAAATCATTTAACTGTTTACTTCAGGTTTTTTTTTTTTTTTAGGATTTATTTATTTGAGAGGCAGAGTTAGAGAGAGAGAGAGGGAGCGAGAGAGAGGTCTTCCATCTGCCGGGTCACTCCTGAAATAGCCACAGTGGCTGGGGCTGGGCCAGGCTGAAGCCAGGAGTGCATCGAGGCCGCCCATGTGCGTGGCAGGGGCGCAGGTGCTTGGGCCATCTTCAGCTGCTTTCCCAGGCCGTTGGGATTGGAAGTGGAGCAGCCGGAACTCGGACCAGTGCTCATAGGGATGCCAGTGCCGCAGGTGGCCGCTTCACCGGCTGCGCCAGCCCCCAGCCCCTAGGTCTTCCTTTGTGACATGCATGTGATGTGACGTGACATCAGCTGTAACTTTCAGGATCATTTTTGTTGGTTGAGGATTAAGTCATCCTTGTGTGAAGTCAGGGTGGGTGCGATTGTTGAAGCCCTGGTGCTGTCGCGGGAGTGCGTGCGCGGCTGCACACTCAGTGCCTTCTCTCTCCACAGACGAGCTGCACCGTTGTATTCATCTCCCCGCTGATAGTGAGGGAAGTAGCCTCTCTTGTGCAGAGGAGACAAGCGCACGTGTTGAGTGAGTGACTGGGGCCCGCCAGGGCCAAGGAACAGCGGAGCCACTGAGGACCGCGGGGCTGGCTGGGCGCTCCGCCCCGCAGTGGCCCGGCCCTGCCCCGCCAGCACTGCCGGCCCAAGGAATCGGACCCTCCTGCAGGCGGGCTGCTTGGCTGCAGGAGTCCTTGTGACGACTCTCGATGTTCCTGAATGCACTCAGTGGCCTGTGAACCTGCCAGTGTCTTCGCCAGGACCGTGTGGATTGCCCCTGTAGCCTCCGCTGCGGGTCACGGACTTGGGCCCGAGTTCTCCAGCCCCGAGCCTCGAGGGAACAGGAGGCAGAGCCGTGCGTGGTCGTCCTGATGGGGAGAAAGGATCGCGCGTGCGCAGAGCGGCCACTCCTGTGACGTGCTCCAGCCGCGGCCCGCGGTGAGCCTGCCCTGGACGAGAGCCCCTTGTCAGCTGGGATGGGGACGTCCGCACTGCCCGTGGCAGCTCTCGGCGCAGGACTGGCGCCACATGCCCTCAGCTCGTCCTCTTCTGCCTCCGTTCAGCACGAGCTCTGGGTCCCGGAAGCGCGGAGCACGGGCGGCAGTTCCTGTGCGCGTGCACGTCCCAGGGCGGGCTCCCCTGCAAGCGCCGGGCCCTGGGGAAGCTCGTGTGCGCCGTCCTGTCTGCAGAGCGCGGCGCCGGGTCACAGCCTGGGTGCTGAGGGAACCTCAGAGAAGCAGCGGCGAGGAAGCGCAGGCGTTGGCCCGGGAGGCGCCGGCTGTGGCGCTGTGCGCGGCCGTCTGCGCCGTCTGCGCCCCGGGGGGCTGCAGAGGCCGGGTCTTCGGGGCTGTGGGTCCTGTATGTGTGTTTTCAATTATGAAAGTGAACCAGAAGGAAAAACGTGCAATTTCAAGGGGTGTCTCAGTCTGCGTTGGTCATTGGTCCGGGAATGTTTTCCAGCCTCTTGCTTTATACTCTGACAGGTGGTGCGATGGCCTGGATGCCATTTAATCATGCAGACTTCCAGTCACTTTATTGATTATTTACTGACGAAAAGGGAAGATACGAAACACAGAGGGAAATAAACCGACTTTTATAACAGGTCTCTGTCCGCTTGGTTCTTTAAGTCCGTGCCTTGGGTCTGCTGACGCTGGCGTGGGGCCCACCGCCTACCAGGCTGGGTAGCCCCCCCACCCTTGGTGCCGGGCACGCGTTTCTGTCGAGGTCTGTGCATCGAGCCTTTTCCTCGGCGGACACACTCGGTTTGGATGAGTTGTCTGGACGTAATTTAAGGACGCTGGGTGAACTCCGTGTTTTATTGAACCTCTTGCTGACATTTGGCTCGGAGAGTTTCCTGTGGCCACACCATCAGTCGCGTCCAGGGCCACATCTTTGGGTCCTGACGCCCACCAGTGGCTGTTTGTTTAAGGATTTATTTATTTTTATTTGAGAGGTAGAATGACAGGAGAGCGGTCCTCCATCTGCTGGCTCACTCCCCAGTGCCTGCAGTGCCGGGCCCGGGCCAGGCTGAAGCCAGGATGCAATTCCATCTGCTCCTCTCAGGCTCATCAGCAGAGAGCCAGATCAGAAGCAGAGCGACCGGGACTTGAACCAGCGCTCCGATATGGCACGCCAGTGTTGTAAGTGCTGGCTTAACCCGCCACGCCACAACACCCACCCCTGCTTAACCTTGGGTGAATGAGAGACCCCCTGAACTCTCCAGGGGCTAAGGGCCCCCAAGCAGTATCTGAAAGGAAATTAGAAATACTATAAATGTGCAGCATTGCACACAAGGCTATGTTCCCCTGAGGATACAGTTCCTTCTTCTAGTTCTGCAATCACAAAAATTGAACACCTGAGAGTTAACTTCTTTTTTTTTCCTTGTAGAAAAGAGCAGAATAAAGGTCAATTTGAAAATGTATCCTCTGTCAATTTAAAAGAAACTTTAAAAAAATTATTTATCTGAAAGGAAGAGAGAGGGAGAGACAGAGAAAGAGGTCTTCCGTCCACTAGTTCAATCCTCAGATGGCCACAACAGCCAGGGCTGGGCCAGGCTGAAGCCAGGAGCCAGGCGCTTCTTTCTCACGTGGGTGCAAGGGCCCAAGGACTTGGGCCATCCTCCACTGCTTTCCCAGGTGACTAGTGGGGAGCTGGACCGGAAGTGGTGCAGCGAGGATGAGAACGGGCGCCCCGAGGGGATGCCGGCATCACGGGGCGGGAGGGGGGCTCACCTGCTGGACCGGAAGTGGCGCAGCGAGGATGAGAACGGGCGCCCCGAGGGGATGCCGGCATCACGGTGGGGGGGCTCACCTGCTGGACCGGAAGTGGCAGAGCGAGGATGAGAACGGGCGCCCCGAGGGGATGCCGGCATCACGGTGGGGGCTCACCTGCTGTGCCCTGGGCTCAGTCTTAACCTCTGATCACCTAGGGAAGGGGTGCCGTAGGATTGAGAGCCGGTTTGAGTCCTGGCTGCTGTGCTTCCAGTCTGCCCCCTGCTAATGTGCCTGGGAAGAGCAGAAGATGGCCTAAGTATTTGGGCCCCTGCCACTGGTGTGGGAGACCAGGATGAAGCTCCTGGCTCAGCCTGGCCATTGCAGCCATTTGGGGAGTGAACCAATGGATGGAAGATCTCCGCTACTCTCTGTCTCTCCCTCTCTCTCAGTCACTCTGCCTTTGGAATAATTAAACCTTTAAAAAAAATGCAGCCCCGTTCGCTGCTCTGTACTCTGTCTTTGTCCACTGCAGTGTCTGGCGTCAGCAGGTAGTTGCAGTTGCACTCACGGCAGGTGCGTCGCCCAGGCCCACGTAGCCTAGTGCGGGACAGACCCAGGCAGCAGCAGCACCCAGGTCTCCTGACTGAGCTCCAGGGTTTCTCCCGTGATGCCAGTGGCTGCCTCCTCTTTCTGACTCTCCCAGGTTCACGTCCAAGGCACACGAAGCTCAAGGGCCAAGGCCTGGAGGCTAAGCAGAAGCGTCGGGCTCGGGGAGTGTGTGTGAAACCTCCCCGCGGCTCCTGCACCTGCTGCTGTGCCCCACCCTGCAGAGCTGGCTGGGCCACACTGGCGGCGGCCTGGCCCCAGGATCTGCCTGTCGGCACCACACTTGTGCTCCCTGTGTGCCACTCTGAGGAGCAGCTCCGAGGAGACCCCCAGCACCCCGTAAGCTCTTGCCTTGTCGTTTGGTGTGACGGTTCGCTCTGCCACGTTTGCCAGGCCTGGCTCTCCTCTGCAGGGGCCCCTGCTCGGCGACCCTGCTTCTGGTCAGCGTTCCGTTAGCTTCGAGTGAGTGTCTCGCTTCTAAAACGCCGGCAGCTCTTCCTCCTCGCCTGTCCCTCTGTTGGACAAAAAGCAGAATCATTTGAAGCTGTTTTCAATCCTGTTTATCCCTGTGATTTAGAGAAAAGCAGATTAGAGGGCCCCCGGCTCGGCAGGGATGTTGTGGACTTCGTGGGCTACTTGTGTCTGGGTGGGGACTGCAAGGGCCTTTGCCCGTGTCGCGGCGGCCGCGGGGTGGGGCGGGGCGGGCTCCGTGCGCATGTGTGCGTTTGCTCAGCGCTCCGTTGGTTTCCTCGGCGCACCCTAGACCTTGAGTGCCTGACAGCGTCGATGTTGAGTTCCGCCGGAGAACGGCATCTAACACAGCATGGGCAGTGTTTCGCAGAGCAGAGTGAGTGGGCACTGGCCGGCCGGGAGGCCTGGGCTGGGAGCGCCTGCCCCCGGCCCCTGCAGCGTGACGCGGCTATGATGGCCGTGGCTGCTGCCGGTTGGGTCCACACAAGAACGGGTCTGTGCCGGCGCCGCGGCTCACTAGGCTAATCCTCCGCCTTGCGGCGCTGGCACACTGGGTTCTAGTCCCGGTTGGGGCGCCGGATTCTGTCCCGGTTGCCCCTCTTCCAAGCCAGCTCTCTGCTGTGGCCAGGGAGTGCAGTGGAGGATGCCCAGGTGCTTGGGCCCTGCACCCCATGGGAGACTAGGAAAAGCACCTGGCTCCTGGCTCCTGCCATCGGATCAGCGCGGTGCACCGGCCACGGCGGCCATTGGAGGGTGAACCAACGGCAAAGGAAGACCTTTCTCTCTGTCTCTCTCTCTCACTGTCCACTCTGCCTGTCAAACAAAAAAACAAAAAAACAAACAAAAAAAAACGGGTCTGTGAGCAGCCCGTGGAGAGAGCGGCAGTGCTGCTGATCCCCGGGCCTGTGGTTCATTGGCTTTGGAGGAGCAAGCCTGCGCTTGACTGCAGACGCATCCCTGTGAAGTTGGAACAAGATCCCATGCGTGCCCCTCCCGCCTCCCCAGCCCCAGCCCCTGCAGGTCCTGGGAACAGCCTGGAGATAGAGGGGCCCTCGGGGGGCAGCGGCCTGCAGGGGTGGCCCTTACGAGTGACCTGTGGACGTCTGGTTGCTGCTGTTGGCTCAGCGCCAGCTTGGTGCCACAGAACGGTGGTGGTCCTGTATCAGTGCGAGGTTGAAGGAGGGGCTCGCCCCGGACAGCACCTGTGGGCACCCGGGCTGTCCCTGCCTCCTGACTCAGCAGGGGGAGACAAAGCTCCAGAGACCAGCGTCCGCTTCGTCAGGACAGAAGCCGGCTCCTTGTTCTCTCTCTCTGGTTACCACCCCCTGCTGCGCCTGTTGTCCTAAGAGGCTGGGGTTACCTGGGGTTCTGCACCTGTGTGTTGTCCGTCTCAGAATCTCCTCCTCGGCCCCGGCTCCCGGCTCCCAGCTCATCAGACTCGGCTGCCTCCTCCAGGGGAGTCACCATGGGGCCCCTGCCGTCTCCACGCCTGCAGGCTTCTACAGGGGAGATGGGGAAGGAGAGACCCGGCGTCCCCTCCCCTCCGAGTAGTGAGCAAGCCCCCCAGATGGTTGGTACCCCGCGCGAACCTTGCTTTTATTTTCACCAAGGATTCCTTGCAAAACCTGGCATCCAGCATTGAATGCTGCAGTTTAGGGCCGAAAGGGAGTCTGCTTCCCCCCGCGTGTGAATTCCTGCCTGACCCGTACGTGGGAATTGTCCTCCCAGCGGCACAGCGGGACGGAGGCCTTGGAGGCCAGCCCATCGTCGGCCGGCTCCGATTGTTAGAAAGTTGGTCATCCTGTTGAGTGACGATCTCATCATTTCTTCATTGTCCCGGTTCCCCCTACCGAAGCAGTATGGATGTCTGAGCATTTTCTCTTGAGGTTTGGGACAACTTCACTGCCTGGCCCAGTGCAGTAGCAGGGAGCTGGACCACAAGTGGAGCGGCTGGGACTCCAGGGCGTGCCTGTGTGGGATGCCAGCGTTGCAGGTGATGGCTTAGCCCGCTGTGTCGCGGTGCCGGCCCCACACTTTGATTTCTAAGCCACCTTCCTCTACTTGAGTCACAACAGCATTGCTGTCAGTGATCTCCAGCTTTGCCCTGCTCGGTCTGTCCCATTTCAAGAGTCACTATTTGAAAGGCAGAGTGACAGAGAGGGAGGGAGAGACAGAGGTCTTCCATCCGCACGTTCACTCCCCCAGTGACCGCAATGGCCGGGGCCTGGCCAAGCTGAAGCCAGAAGACAGGAGCTTCTTTCGAGTCTCCCATGTGGGCGCAGAGGCCCAGGGACTTGGGCCATCCTCCGCTGCTTTCCCAGGCAGATGAGCAGGGAGCTGGATTGGAAGTGGAGCAGCCAGGAGTTGAACTGGCACCCACAGGGGATGCTGGCTACGCCACAGCTCCGGCCCCCCATGTTCAACTCTTGGAGCAATCTGGTTAAACCACCCTTTGGGAGGCAGTCCCCTCTGCAGACACGGGAAAGGACGCTGTGTTTTCTGAGTTGACTGAGACCTTGAGTCTGCGCCTGTGGCTGGAAGGTTTCCGAGACGGAGATCTGGGGACCAACGGCTGCACCTCTCCCCGCGGTGCGCCAGCGCGGGGCGTTGAACCGTCTCCCTTTCCTCTCTTCGTCTGTAACTTGACTGAAGTAGAGTTCATGTCTGCCGTACAAGCACTCCCCGAGCTGTGGGAGCGCAGCCACCGTCGGTGTCTGAACATCTTCCCCGGACGCCCACTGGTAGTCACTTCTCACCCCTCCCGGCTCCGACCCGGCCACCCACTGCCCTACCTTCTGCACTGTAGCGCTC